ATACAGTATCTATATTGCCAAATTCAATTACAGCAGTTTTATATTGCAAAGGAAAATACATTGAAAAGCAGGCATGTAACTTGGGCTGTAGGTGTCTATCACCTGCCCGTGGAACATTCTAGGGAAAGCAATTACTTCTCCGCAGAGACAAGCAGACACTCCACTAGAAAAGTTACAGTGTACCTTTAGTCTTTAAAAGTCCAAGCACAGGGGCCAATACAAGGTTCTGCCAGTGGTGCATTCAGTGCAGCACGGAAACTGTTAAGCAGAAAGCAATAAATCCTATGAAGTACTGAACATTTTGTTTTTATTTTCAACCTGACCCAGTATCTATGAATCCACTCAGCTGCTTTGTAAGCTTTGTGATTGGAAATATGTCTCTGCTCACTTACATGTATACTACATTATGTACAGTATCTAAATACCTTAATTGGATTATATGTGAAATATTTAAATGTATTTTTGGAGATATCTATAGCTGAACAGTGAAACATGAATGTGGTCCTTTTCTTATTTAGCTACATATATTAACTTCATATACTTTTATGAACTAATTATTTAAGTGTCAAGATGTTGATTTTATGTCACAATTCCATTGTTTTTCTATGAAAATGTATAATAATGGGCAAGGACAAAATCTAGCCTATTTGCCATGTATGTCATCAAATTCCTTTACTTTTTTTTAATTTTTTTTATTATTATTATAATCATGCATGTATGGGGCACAAAATGATGGGGATTTAGTTTTGGGAAAACGAACACTAGAGGGCAGCACTCTCCAGTAAACTATGCTATTGCCTTCCTCTATCGAGAAGATGATTTAGAATTTTGCATATAATAGATAAAATGAGCATAATGTCTATAGCAATTCTTTATATTCATTATCATATAAAAAAAATCTATAAATACCTGGCTATCCATACCCCTGGCCTCTTTATTACTATGAATTTGTAGCCGATTGTATTGTATCATATTGTAATAAAGCGTAATAAAGTAAAAGCGTAATAAAGCGTAATAAAATGTGATAAAATATCGAAATAGCTAAAAGGGACTATACTGCAGATAAATGTTTACTTGTTCCATCTGGAAGTCTACACCTGTTCTTACTGTCCGTGTTTGCACGTCTAGACAAGCCTGTTGAGTCCAAAGCAGACACACAGTTACTCCCAGACATGTGTGGGAGTGAGTGTGGAGGGAGAGAAGGTGCCAGACAAGGGAAGGGGACATGTCAAACAGAGAATGTCTCATTTTCTAACCACTTATATAACTGGAATTTTGATGGCTGTTCATAATTTAAATGGGACACTTTTATATAATCGCTTCAAATCTCAGTCAGTCTTTGTCCTGTAATTATAGACTCTGGAACAAAAGAGCATGTACCAAGAACAATTTGTGTTCAGAGACATTTAGTAGTGACTCTCAATAGTCAGATTAAGTATAACAGTGATGGTGACTAGTACATTAACACCGACAGTGACAGTTATTAGTGACAAAATAACATGATATTGAGATGGTTATGAACAATCATATAATAAACAATCATGGTTTACATGCAGTTAATTAGACAAAACCTTCATCTCCATTGGCAAGTTTCAGATCACAGCATTCAGACAAGATATAATGACACTGTTAACAACCAAATTTTTTATGGGTTAGAGCATGTCACAATAAAAGGGTTAGGGTTCAACAACTTTTAGGTATTTCTTATGAAAATATAATGTCAACAGAAAATACCTTGTGCTCCCCATCTGGGAGTATCACATCATTATAGAATCTGCACAGTTATTTATATCCAATTTATAGTTGTGAACTAGGCTCTCTGAGACCAAGCCCTATCAACCACTATCACAACAGCACAGGATCTATGTAAACATTTAACCCTAACCCTAACCCAGTGGATTAAACAACACCCTCTCTTGCTGTCACATTCACTAGAATGCAGATACATTCATTTTTATCAAGGCTAAGGTGAAGGAAACTGCATACAATAACACAAAAAACAGGAGTTTATTATAACTTACACCATAGTAAAGAAACAGTATTATATATTTGATTACTATATGTAAAATCAAATGTTTGTGGTGATGCAGCTAATCAGTCTGATCCAAATTAAGAGCAAAATATAATGTTACTGACTGTAAGTGATTTTCTCTCAATATTGCATGGATAAAACTTTGTGAACCAGTTTTCTCTTCTATTTTTTAATGGCAGTGGAACATGTCTAACAAATTGCTTTTAGAGGGCATAAGGGTTAATGTACTATATAGGTCACATTTAACAAAAACAGGATAATTCAAGAGCAAAGCTTTTGACAAACAAGATTTGTATGTTGCTTGATTATTGCACCTCTCTGGCAGGTAAGACAGAACAAATGGACAGCATGTTTAAAATGTAGCTGACATTTGGACAAACTTGTTATTAATGGTAATTTGACACAGAGGCAGATTTGACTTATTCAGTGCTAAAAGCTGGGTGTGAGAAGACACACAATAGCACAAGAACACAGACTCCATTTTTTGTGTCAGCCTTCTCAATGCCTCACAATAACAGTATTCTAGCGTTTTAATTAGAATCTTTCACCGAGACTGGCAGCTCATGTTCAGACGGTCTATGTGTGAAGAAGCAGGCAGGATGTGTGCTGTGAAAGTGCTGCTCTGATTCACTTCATCTGTCTCTAGGGGAAGTAATATTACAGCTCCTTAGGCATGACGTTTCAACCTCGACAAGTTCACACCAAATTTGTCCTCTGTTTCCTGTACCACGACAGAAGAATTCCAGGAAATTCCACCCCCCATTGGATGTTGGAGGAAGACAGCAGAGGAAGCATTGCCATGTATGTACGCTCCCCGTGACACACATTTCATAACCATGGACACATAGCCTCCCGCACATAACAGACTCCACACTGTGTCACAGAATTTCGTGGGCTATGTGTAGAACTTAAAATAGGTCTTATTTTTCAAAATGAAATAGTATTTCAAAAGACGATTAAAAAGAGGGAGTGGACAATAATACATTATCACTTATGTAATCTTCTATTATGCCATTGTCATTTCTGTTTGTCTGGTACTTACTGCTTAGTCTCAGCCACAGTCACTCAAAACTGCTATTGTTGATCTTTAAATACTTTTTCTTGTTATTTTTCCTGTGCGAAAAAGGTGATTTCTGATGCAAATGAAAGCTAAACTTTGTCCTGTATTTATAGACTTTAGAATAAAATATTGTAAATGAAATATTAACTCAAAACATTAGAATCAATTTTGTTCAAATAGATGTACATGTCAATCACAGAGTTAGTTATTACCAAGTAAAAAGAGGATTAAATAAAATAAAAAAAAACTGTAACTGCCAATCACATGTTTAAAAGCTATCAATTCTGGTCTTTGAAGAATTAAAGGAACACTTATTTAACACCCACACAAATTTTAACACGTTCAATTATATAACTCGAATCTTTTCCATCAGTCCACAGCTGTTGGCTTTTCAGAGCCTCATTTCAGTCCCTTTTTGTATGTCTCTAATACTATGCACCCTGCAGAAATGTGGGGGTGTAAGTGAGAAGGAAAAAACACTAATGCAGTTTCAAACAAAAGCCTTTCAGATGAAGCTTCCTGAATGTGAAGTTGTAATTTCTTGGCTTGATCTAAATGGCATTTACATAACTGGTCTGGACTGAATAGGTCTGACATTATTCATAATATCACATCATTAAGTGCAGTTCAGTGTAGGATTATAATACAAATAATTCAAATCAAAATGTGTCACTGATCTTTTTAGCATTCTGGTTAGGTTGCAGGTGTCTGGACAGACACAAAAACACAAAAACACACAGACAGACCACATTTTACATGTACTCTATAACACAGAATAGACACAAAATATCAATAGTGTAAGTCCTTACTTCAGCTAACACAGAACACAGATGATGCTCATCTACATAGAACATGCTAAATTACATTGAAAAGCATGAGAAACGTACTGCAAGACAGATTAGAAAGAAAATTGGTACCCCTCCCCCCCTTTCAGGGCATTTGAGGTAAAAGCTAGTATTTGACTGAAATACTTGAGACTGCATTCTGTTGTTGCGTGCACAAAAATACAATAAACTATGATCAATCTCATATAAAGTGTTTTTTTTTTTTTTTTTTGCATTGAAACTCAATATACAGTAGAACCATGTTTTCATTATGTGGGTACATTGCTTTTTATGTGACATGTCTAATGTCTTGAACAGGTATCTAAAGAATATGTGGATGTGTGAGAATATTGCTGCTTTGTGCAAGCTCACTGTATATTAGACTAAACCTGAGGAAACCTAGGGACTAAGGGTCATTTCAGGCAATTCAGCTTGTTTAAATTCATTTCAGGTCAACCTGCAGAAATAATGCAACATCTTAAATGTCATGACGCAACATTTTATAAATGATCATTTCGTATGTTCAGATTATTGCTTTACTATGGTGATGTTCATTTCACTAATACCAAATATGAGTTTGCTGCTCGGCTGGTGCTGTCACCTCAACATCATTAATCGGTTAACTCACTGATGATTACTGTGAATTGCATTTCTTCCTGTTATTATTCCTTTGTTGGCTTTACAACGGATAATAGCGGCCCTGTCCTAAAATGCCCCAGTCTTTCTAACTCTGTCTGGGCACAAAACTGGATGCTTATCTGTCTGTTCTTTATGTACTCGGGGAGAGTACTGTCTGTACTGAGTCGTGACAGTCTGCTCTAGCTGCTTTCAGAAACTCCGGAAATAAGTCTTGAGATGGAGATGGAGGCTGCAACATCCGCGTGATCATCCGCGCTGCACCAATCGCAGCTCACCCGGACGCCCCGGGACTCGGTATCCCCTGCCGTGCGTGAAGAAATGGGCGGACCCGGGGAAATCTCTGTCACCGGGAGTGGGAGGCGAGCGAGTAGTGAAGCCCGGCCGCTACAGTATTTAAGACAGAACTGAAGAGAGCTCCGAGACAGAAAAGCTGCCTTTTCAGCACCACAAGAAAGCGGACAGCGACTCACAGCTCAAACTTTACAGCGGCCATCATGGTTCTCATTTGGACCCAGTTCGGTGTCAAACACAAAAATGTCAATGTGAAATGCAAAGTGCGGGTTATGCACAGAGGTGACAGCTCTGGCTCTTCATCTTCAGCGGTAAGTCCAGATTCATCATAATCTCTGTTTGTGTGTGTGTGTGTTGTCAAAGCTACAACTTTGACCCTTTTCTTGTTGAAATGCTGATGTCGCTAGAGTGTGTTTGGCCAATCAGTAGACCGGATCTCGGTTGTCAGGGAAAGTCTCTGCCTCTTCATGAATGATCCCATCTCACAGTGCGAGGGACGTTGCAAGATAAAACAACCAATAAAAAACGATCTTAACGCAACTGCAGAAAACATCAGGAAAGCTTTCCTGATTTCATTGTGGAGAAAATTGTTTAAATTATAATAAAAAAATATAGTCTATGCAACCAACTGTCTGCTCAGCAACCAAGTCTTGTCTATAGTGTCAAAATATAATACAAAAGCTAAATGTGTAATAATCATATTTATGTATTTTTACAGGAAAGTGTCAAGTCTGAACAAGAAAGCCCTTGTCTGGCCATCAAACCTTCTGGTAAAGACTTCTACAAAGTACTGGGTGTGTCACCGGACTCCAATGAGGATGAGATCAAAAAGGCCTACAGGAAGTTGGCTCTGAAGTTTCACCCTGACAAGAATAGTGACGCTGAAGCTGAAGACAAATTCAAAGAGATTGCTGAGGCTTACGAGATTTTGACTGACCCCAAAAAGAGAAACATTTATGATCAGTTCGGAGAGGAAGGTGAGAATTTTTTTAAGCACTATTGCAATACCATACTGTATGAACACAGACTAAACTTAACTTACATGGTCTTCTGTCTTCCTGATAGGTCTCAAAAATGGCATGGCAAACCAAGGTAACCTCTTTCGCAGTAATTTCCAGACCGATCCCTCCTTCTCCTCCTCTTTCCACGGCTCAGACTACTTTGACATCTACTTTGGCCAAGATGATGAAGACCTGTTCAACCCGTTCCGGCGCTTCACCTTCAGTCGTGTGGGGGGCTACACATGCCGTGAAGATGGGCAGCTTCACAAGAGCAAGGTAGAGGTGCACGAGCTGCTGGTCACTCTGGACGAGGTGATGCATGGTTGCACAAAGCATGTAAAGATCACTCGTAAACGCCTGAATCCTGATGGCCGCAGCATGCGATCTGAAGACAAAGTGCTCAATGTGGTGGTGAAAAAAGGGTGGAGAGCTGGGACAAAGATCACCTTCCCTCGAGAGGGAGATGAAACACCAAACAACGGCCCTGCTGACATCACATTCATTCTCAAGGACCAGGAACACCCACAGTACAGGAGAGAGGGCTCCAATATTGTCTACACAGCCAAAATCACCTTAAAGGAGGTGAGTTGTAGTGACTTTATATATAATTAACACATAGGGACCACAGTGAGTTATATCAACCTTATTAGTGTACAGTAGGTAAATAATTCCAGTTCTATTTCCATAGTTTTAGACCCTTTCCAAGCCCCCACCAACATAGCAGTAGCAGCAGCAACAGCAGCAGCAACACAGACTCCTCTATTACCTTGTCAAACCCTGCAGAGAGCAAGGGAGTATGAGCTAAATTTAACCTCCCCATCACTGGTCCTGCCTCTCTGCCATTGGCTGCAGACTCCTCTGCTTTTACGTGGCAGGTTGTAGGGCTGGATAGGGGCTTTTTTGGCAGTTCTTTTTCTGGCTCTCACTTACCAGCCCACACACAGATTAACAGGATAGCACTCAAAAGCTGGCATTTCAAGGAGCCCTTCAATCATTCATGGGCTGACAAAGTCCTTAACTCCTACACTTAGCAAACAGACACATTTATAACATCAGGAACAGCATAGTATTACATAACTGAGATACATTAGCATTTTTTGAATGCAGGCTATCAATAGATTGCTGTTGCATAACTGTACTTCAGATAGGAGTGTCTTGGGGTGATGCTGGTTCCTATGTGTTATACTCTTATTAAAGTAAAGCCAATGAATATTGAACCTGATTCTGATTTCTCACTTTGAATCCTTTCTCTCCAGGCACTGTGTGGCTGTACCATTAACGTGCCTACACTTGACAGCCGAATGATGCCTTTGCCGTGCAGTGACATTATTAAACCTGGTGCAATGAGACGTCTACGTGGTGAGGGTCTGCCTCTGCCCAAGAGCCCATCACAGAAAGGGGACTTGGTGGTGGAGTTCCAGGTGCTCTTTCCTGACAGGATCCCGCCCCAATCCAGAGAGATAATCAAACATAGTTTAGCCAAATGCTAGCTCATCTTTCAAAACATGACACAGGATCGCCATGTGTGCATTGTTGACAATTCAGAGCCTTACTCAAGGGTGCTAGTATTGTAACCATTCACAACCTATTATGGTGAATAGAGAGGAGAGAATGCTACAGCTGAATGCACATTGAACAGTGGTATGTGAGGTGAAGATGATAGTGACTTCAGAAAAAATGGTCTCTGATGTAGCTTAGTTAGCCTCTGGTGTGACTGAAAAGGATATCTGTACTGTTATACAGTACAGTCACAGAACAAGACTGTGCTACTCAAGTCTGTGTAGACTTCCTTAAAGCTGAAAGGGAAGGAAACGGCTTATATGGTTTTCATATGACTATTTTTATAATAGTGCTGATATAATTGTGTACAAAGATTTACTTTGTGTACAAAAAACAACAATACTGTCTCTAAGAGAGATTCACATGTGAAATGTTCTATTGAATGATCTGAGATGTTTGTATAGATTCTGTAATATATCCCATTAGTGCATTCCTACAATGTAAAGACTACAAAGAGTAGCCTGCAAAAAATATGTACATTTTGAAATAAATATGAATTGAAAAGAAAATTCTATTATCTTTTTTCGTTAACAGATAAATTGATTCGTGACAGAAGTCTTAAGGTCCATTGCTGCCCTCTTGTGTTGCCTCGACATTCGAGTGAAAGGCTTAAAAATCCTGATAAGACATAGCTGCATATTGAGTCTAAATCAATCTGCCTTTTTGATAAATAACTATCTCCTAATGGAGTGGAATACATAGCAGGGAAAGTTGAAGTTTCCATTCTCCCACAGGGAAAAGGCTCGAGCAGAACTTGGACGCTAATTGGCTCGTCAGTGCACCTGCGCACAGCGACACAAAACAGATACAAAACAGACAACACGTGAGATGAGCAGTTTACCTACGTTTACTATTTATGTCATCTGAGATGAAATGTCGCAAGTACATCAGACCACACCATCAAACCTGACTGAGGGCTACTCAGTGTCAAACTTGACTTTGGTTGTCTTATTGTTGATTCCATGTGTGGTCATTTTATTGCTCTTAAACTGCCTGTTTTTGGGCTACAAGTTGTTAATTTTGTCAAAAAAGACCAACAGACGTGAAGACACGGAAGCAATGCTTTTGCAATCTACACAGCACGGGGTCAGACGATTGTCAGACGTGGCATTCCCTCAGCTGCCGAATGGAAGGAGAGCTTACATGTCCCTGTCGGAACCTGTCCTACCTCACCCAGTCACTTCTTCTAGGGCTTCATCTAGGGAGAGGCCAGGTTTTGACCATAGGATACGGCTCCTCAGGCCTGACTGCGCAACCGGCTCAGGGTCTCTGAGGGCGCCAAGCACCATCCGCGCCACTTCCTCTGCGGCCACTCCAAGACTGGACCAGCCCTCCGGTGTTTATGGCAAAAGTGCACCTCTTCTGCCGCAACAGTCCAGCGACTCCGAGGCTGAAACCAGAGTCAATCTGGTGCCCCCTAACTCCCCAATGGTCAGTGGCAATTATAAATCTGTATCCTAGTTGATTTTCAGATTATTATCTTATTTTTAATAAGAATATGCCCTTTTTCATTTGTGTTTTTATTTGTATTTTTATTTGTACGTACCCTTATTTGCCCAGTTAAGGTATAAACACATGTTTATGACATGAAACCACGCCCCTCATTACATTTAACTATGTGGCTATTTTTGTTAAAGTAGCCAAGTGAAACCACATGAACAACAGATTAAATAAAATGGACAGTGTGGAGTAAATTTGATAAACGTTGCATTTTATGCACCCTGCATTTTTCACTGCTAATGGGAAAACTGCAGACCTATTGTTTCCATAACATATAACATAACATGGCATTATTTTAGAAAAGACAATAATACCTTAAATATTGCCACATACTTAAATTGAATGGAGTACAACGGTTCATGTTTGGGAGGACCCCTTGTGGTTGATGGGGCCCAGTACATCTGAAGAGCTTTCTTCTGCCAGGAAACATTAGCCTAGAGGGCTGCACAATGTCCACAAGAAACAGATTTTTTATTTTTATTTTGTGTAAAACTTTTTATACAATTCATAAAGCATCAATGAGAAGGTGGAACATACTGTAAAAAGTGGGATGAGGAAAAGAGAATAGAACAAACAGATGATCAAGGGACAGGATGTCACCCTAGCCAAGCTCCATTCTGTTCCATTACTATGTTTATTTTGTTTTATTTCAACCAACAATAATCATATAGTTTGTTTAGTTTAACAAAAATATCAAAATAAAAAGCTAACCAACTGAACCAAGACAAATGCTAATCTGACACTTTTATATTTTAGTTTTGTTAAAAAACTGTGTTTACATTGATCATTTTCATATACTAGTGGTTCAAGTTCTAGCACTGACTCTTGCCTCCACTTGCCCAAAGGTGTATGTCTGTTTTGTTCACAGCAGGAGGAAAATGAGGGACAACTTTGTAGCAGCAGTCCCTATGACATGAGGACACACTTGAACACAGCTGCTGCAGTGCATCTGTTTGACAAAATGGACATGGAGTGTGAGCTTTCAAACGGACTTTCAGAAGTCTCCTGTATCCTCACATCTGCAGTGGGTCCTGGACTGGACAGCGACTTTGGTGCCAGTGCAGGTTTTCTTACATCTTCTTTGAGTTAATACTAATGCACCAACCATTTTATGATGAGTAACTTGGTCTTTAATGTTGTTAAAGTAAAATTTATTTGGACTGCACTTTCAGGTGTGTCTTTGAGGATACTCTCCGCAGACAGTGATGGTTTGTCCAACAGCATGCTTACATCTGCCTTGGAATGGGACTACTATGATCCATGCTATGTCAAACAGAATAATGTCCCAAAACAGAAACATCACAGACCAGTAATGCACACAAAACAGTATTGGGTCTAGTCGACCACTCCTGCATAATGTAAGATTTTAAATATTTATTTAACGTATTTTATTAATTTAATATTTTATTTTGTTATTTATCTCAAATTAACATCTCACTGTCACAAATTTAAGTTCACCATTGTTCAAAGCACAACCCCACTAAAGTTCATTATTCACCTGTACAACTGTCGATGCACTTAAGATGTAAAAATCACATTTTTGCCAACAGTGACCATGACACATTTTATCACATGGAAATTACCTTGTTTTTACACACAATAAATGTATTTAAAATATTACAAGAGGTATTATTATTATTGAGCATACTGCCACACATCTAGGTGTGTCATTTATTGTGTGATGCAAGATTAATTAGTAAATGTATTAAATATAGTTACTTTTTTAATAATAATAATAATAATAATAATAATAATAATAATAATAATATTTATTATTAATGTATTTATTTATTTTTTATTAATCTTACTAAATTTGTTGTCTGACATAAAACATAACTATGCTTTGTGTGAAATATACTTTAGAATTTAAAATACTTGATCCAGTATCTGATGCTGGTTGGCTGTTTCTCTGTGTGCATTGCTCAAGAAATTTGGTTATTGAAAATGTAAAAAAAAATAAAAATAAATAAAAATCAGTATAAAGTATAGTATATTCATGAATTGACAGCCTATACCTATACCATTTGTGTTCACCTTGAGTTTGGCTGCCATCCGCTAGGGGTCGCTCTACTGGTCTCAAAGCACCGGAAGTGGCGCATGTACACTTTGTAACGACGATTCGCTGCTGCAGACTGTTGAAGACATTTTACAATAATACACAGCTAAAGTCGCACTAAAGGAAAGCCACAGAACAAATGCACCGTCCTCAATCTTTATACATCCACGTTGTAGGGAATTAGTGTTGCTTAACACGGGAGTCGACTTGTAGCTGTGTGATCCAGAGAAACTATAACTTACGTAAGATGTCGAGCGTTCTGGACTGAGGAATAAAATAACACCGCCACCGCGGTAAGTAGCCTACTGTTTCAAAGCTCATAAGTTGATCGTTACTCTAGTTATCTAATGACAGTTAACTTAAATTACAACGTTCATCCATAAAGTGTATTAAGCTACGCCTGATTCCATTTATGGCACAGGAGGAAACTCTTGCAACCTGTATAATGCTTGCATACATAGGCTTCGTCCTAGACCATATTTGTAGCTTATGGTTTGCGTACATATATGGATTTCAGAAAAGTTTGTCAAATTGGTAACCGTAGTAGCCTTGAGATTTTGCTGACATGTTTACTTACAATTCCTATTATAATGATATAGATACACACTAAGGCGGTATTAAGGTTATTTGTTGCTTTTGTTGTCTTTACTTCAGGTCAGTTCCTGTCCAGACACAACGGTCCACATCATTTGGACCTTGGGCTCTGGGCTTGACTAGTATGAAGATGGCAGATTCAGTAAATACAGGAGAATTTGTTGATGCTGAGTGTCCCACTGAGTGCCTTGATGAAGCAGAAACAGTCACAGCTTCTATTCAAGAAGAGCAGGAAGATCAACAAAAGAGTGAAACCTCCACCAGCATCACTTCCACTCAAAGGGATAAGGATGGAGAGAGCCTTTTGCACACAGAGAGTGAACAGAGCCTGCTGTCTATGCCATGCCTGATGAAGGAGCTCCGAAGAGACTCAGCAGGGTCTCATCAAGCCTCTTCCAGTAGTGACAACAAGGTTGTGTCTAACCGTGTTTATGAAAGCGACTCTTCAAACCCTTGTATGCTGTCTCCATCCTCTAGTGGGCACCTTGCTGACTCAGACACACTCTCATCTGGGGAAGAAGTAGCTGCCCCTCCAGCATGTGAAGGTGAAGACAACATGGAAGCTTTACCTGATTCAGAACAGTCAGTTGATCAGCCATCTTCCTTGGCAACTGGAGGCAGAAAGTCTCGCCGCTCTCGGTCAGAGAGTGACATGCTCTCCAATGCTATGGCTGCAAAGAAAAATCGATGCCAGACAACTGCAGAAGCAGCCATGGGACAGGAAAAACAAATGAATGGCAAAGTGGGAAAGGTGAAAGGGCACCGGAGCCAAAAACACAAGGAGAGAATGCGTTTGCTCAGGCAAAAACGAGAGGCAGCAGCAAGGAAGAAGTACAACCTGCTGCAGGACAGCAGCACAAGTGACAGTGAGGTCACCTGTGACTCCAGCACCAGCTCCTCTGATGAGGACGACGACACCTCTGGAGGTAGCAAGACAATCAGGACAGATATTCCAGGTAACATTCAGCAACACTAACTCTTATTAATGCAACTTAAAATCACATTTAGACACAGTTTCAAACAAGCACCACAGTAGAGTAGCTACCATTTATATTTCCTTGTAATCTAGTTTATCATAATAGATTCATTTTTACTTTCTGTTTTGAAACTACTATATATGTTGAAGTTCTACAATCATTTTACTTTACCTTTGTTGTCTAATTTATTAATGTGCGTCCATACGTATCATGTAGCCTAATCCACAAGTAACCCAGCTCACAAAACTCAATGTTAATCTAATACTTGAACATGAGTCTTTTTTAATATTTTTGTCATTCTCACTCATCTTTTTGTGTTTGTCTTTTCAGTTTTCTCTATTACAGTGTAGCAAAATGCTTTGCTTGAAATCTAGTCTTTTCTACTCAAAATACATTTCTAAAGGGTTAAACTTGAATGGAAATTGGAAAGCCACAGTAAAATGTGTTTAGATTTGTGTATTTTGTTAGGTAATAACTGAGACACTTTTGGTAGAAATATTTACATGTTATAATGATTTCAGTGGACAATCTTTTCTATTAATCATCCTTTTTTGGGGAATCACATGGGTGAGTTGACTACTAGTATGAATCTGTAAAACACACGTTTTACAAAAAAAAAAAAAGGTTTGATTTGAGTTAGTTTTGATTCAGGCACATTTTGTAACAAGTAGGCATAAATTATATTTTAATCCACATCAAATCTCAGTACATCAGAAGATCATTATGCCTTCCAGATGCATCCAGTTATTTTTGAACCATTTTTACATCCTGCACACACATTCGAGTGCTACAACAACTGCATGTTGTATTCCATCAGCATGGAAGGGTCAACCTGCACGTAACCAAAAACAGATGCATTTCTCTGTAATTGAAGAATCCTCTTCCATAGCATGAAAGTCTTACTGCTTGGCCTCAATGTCTTTAAAGCTGGCTTCAGACGTACGGCGGAGAGATCCAGAGTTGGAGCTCAGGTTCATGGGCTTTTGGACAGCAGCTCGTGGGACAGAAACGGCATTGGAAGTGTTCTGGAAGAGGCCATGACACGCTTTGCTGTGATGCAGCGCCAGACGGAAGAACGCTTCAGGGTCTGGATGGAAAGGCTTGCCCATCTCGACTCAGATGATTCGTCAAAGCGCTCAAGTGACGCTCTTGAGGGGCAACAGAATCCCTCTCAGGAAGCACGCCCTTCCCCTCCCAGCTCATTTCTGCCATCATCAGAGTCTGCGGAGACTATGGCTGCTTACATGTTGGCTCGGGAGAATAACGGTCTCACTCCTGCCACTATGAACAACAATATTTTGCATGAAGTAGTGACTCCGAATGGAAATCTAGGCGTTTCAGATCCTGGACTCTTGAATGTTTAATCTACTTGTCTTCACTGCTCAGACACAAGCAGAAGATCTAGTATTGTGTGAGGAGACAAAATAAATGCATGTAAACTACAGCTGGGCCAGAGATGGCTATTTGTTGCTTTTTTTGTTGACTGGCCTGACACACTGTGTAGGCACTGAATCACTGTGAGAGTAGATTTTGTTTTACTTAAGTAATTCAACTCACCCGTTTGATTTCTGATTTATTACAGTGATCTGAAAGAGATTTTTGAGTACTATTTCAGTTTATATTTCATGCTATAAGTTATTGTTCGGTATGGTTTCTTGGCATGTATCCTATCAATGTGTGAACTGAGTGAATGAGCGTACACTTGGTCCCCATTAAAATGTGTTCTGGTTTTTAAACCTGTAACATTTTTGATGACATAGCTTTACTGATACAAAAGTCTACCTATAAATACTAGTTTAATTTCTTAGTCTATTTTATATGTGTAATGTTTACTAAATAATTGCATTCAGACACAATTGCCGTTGCAACTTTTTTAAGTATGCCATAATGTTATTCTTTTTTTTTTTTTTTTTTTTTTTTTTAAGTAGATTAGGAATATATTGTTAGCATATTATTAAACGTTTAAATTATATGTTAATATTCTGAGAATTAGTTGCATGCCTTTTAAGATTTAATTTAATGCTTATTTTGCTAGGTTTTGTGCTTGACAGCCAGTCTCTGTACATAATTTAAATGGAATATGTTCACAGGTTTACATTTTAAACCTGTGGAACAGAGCATTAACCCTTCTACTGTTTGTGACTGGCCAAAAAAGTGTCCTTTTTCTGGTTTGGATCCTGTGGTTAAAAAGTTTTCTTGGCGCGCTTCCACTTTTCCACACTCAACTGCAATAGTGACAATAAGAGTCTGTGTATGTAGGCTTTTTTTCTCTGAGGTATAGAACGTCATTAGTTTGTATGTGTAAAGTATGTGCAAGACTAATAAAGTTCTGCATGTATCCTTAACAGGGTAATTTTGATCATGCAGAAAAAGGTGTATACATTGAGTTTTTCTTAGTTTTGTTTTGTGTTAACCTTAATAATGCGGTCAGTTTGACAAGAATTCCCATACTTCCCAAATCCGTCCCTTCCAGGGTGGCAGTAAGACCTGGCAAAGTAAATCTCTGAAATAAGAGACAAGATGGGATATATTGTTTACGTAAGAGGATTGGTTCACTGCAGTATTTTCCTCAAAGTCTGAGAATGCCCTTTTACAAACATCTAAAGCATGTTTCATGGTTCTATCCTGTTACAATATTCCCGTGAATACAATAAATACTCAGTAGCAAGGATAAGTGTCAATTTCGGCAGTGTAATAATAAATAACTCATCACAACAACTTGTACATGTATGTAATATATGATTTTAATAGTCTTGTAGAGTCTTAAAGGCATATTTAATAGTGATGGAAATAGAACACACTATTGAGTTAAACTTAGGCGTAATTTGAATAATGGAATAATATATATTGAATAATGAAGTATTTGTGTTTGTTTTCTGCAGACGGGCCACCAGTAGTTGGTCACTATGATATTTCAGGCACTGATTCTAACCAGGAGAGTATGAGTGTCGAGGCTGCCCGGCCCAGCGTGATAAGGCATGAGCTAAAAACACACAGAGGCCAAGTTATGGCAGTACACTCTGGGTGTATAAGAGCTCTGAGCTCACTCTCAGGTCAGTTACAAATCCGGTATCTTTCAATTTATTTTCTATTCTCAGGGCAGACAGGGCTTTTAAACTGATGATTGGTATGAATGAACTATATGTTATAAAGGGAGCTCTAGTCTGTATTGTCTTGAAGGTCCAAAAAGCTGCTCAAATCTATGGCTCAGCTTACAGTCTTTTTTTTTCTGTTTCAGGCCATCCAGATGCACATCTTTTGCACAAGGAAAGTTCCCAACACAAGGGCCAGATTAGTATCGCCTCTTCTGACAGTGAGGTGGAAATTGTGGATGTGCAAGAGAAAGCACGGTAAAAATGATATTGAATTAAGTTTTTTCCTTTGTTTTGGGGGGTTTACTAATTATTTGTGTTTGAACCCAGGGGTGCTCATCCATATGGAGGGGTGATAAAGAGTTTGTCCTCATGGAAAGAAAATCCCGTAACTCAGATAACCAGCACAAATCAGCCACAGCTTTGGACTTCTCCACAGCCAAACTGGGTTTCTCCACCGGAAGTAGTAGACCTCACCCTAGACGAGGATAACGGACACAAGTACCTGCTTTAAACCTATACTAAAGACATTTTTGAATTCCCTTCCTAGTCCTTGCCTCACCTTCCTGTTACAGTTGGGATTCTTGCTCAGCTTGGAGCTTTGGCTGCAACCTCTGGAGTCTGTCTGCTCCTGTGCACTGTTGAACAAGCATGTATTAAAGCCATTCTACTGATCTAACGTGTGGTGTTGAGCTGCTAACCATAAACTTAGTTAAAAACAACACTAAAATGCAGCTCAAAATATGATAAAAGAGCAATATCTTAAATTGAATACAAGTGGAAAGATATATTATACAAATTTACATTGAAATGGTGGCAGCTGGTACACTTTGTATAGATTGAAGACATGGCTTTTTACATGTCTACCATTAATAGTTTTATTATAGTCTTATCACTGGGTTTTCAGTACTGTTAGCATTGTTGGTGAGAGTGTAAAGTTATTATTATTTCCCTGAAAGTAAGTTGAAACACCTAAACACTGTCTGACCAAAACATCACCACCTGGATTAATTTTAGCAAAGGTAATAGGATATGTAAGGACTGCATTTTGAGCAACTTTATTGTATCCAAAGAATGAGGGCAGCTAACTATATCTGAATACTGAACAAGGTCATTTCTCAAACAGGTTTTACTTCCCTGCTGGCACAAACATATTAAATGTACAAGATTACAAGTGTCAATATTTACTGTGCTCAAAATTTGTTTCTGGGAGAATAAAATTCCCACAATTTTAACCACACTGTGGAGACTTCCAGATAAAAATGTAGCGCACTAATAATTTGTTGAATTGCAAATTGCACCACCTTCAGCCTAAACTGTGATTACAGCAGGCATTTGCTGTGACATTGTCTGATGAACACAGCGTGCCATCAGGGAAGAAAGAAACTGGAATTGGAAAAATGGAATAACCTAGTCAATATATTTGATAATCAAATGGCCTCTTTATCTGGGCACATAATGTTGTTGAACATGCGGTAATCGTCTATCAACCTATTATATCATAAAACATGAGTACACGTCCCTTTACTCTTGTAGCATCATTCTTTTAAACCCTTTCAGTGTGCTTTGAGAGTATGATCCTACTGTACAATCAGAACTAGTTGCACTTAGGATTTGCATGCTTCTTGTTGGTGGATGCAAGCCCCTTTAATCTCTGGGCACCTTTAATAAAATATATCTTCCTTGAATTCTACAACGGAAGATGGACTTGAATGCCTTGACAATGTGCACTTTTTACTTTTTGTACAAGTACTTAGAACAAACTTGTTATTTTTTCAAAATTGTTATCTCAAAAACTTGTATAGATGGATAAAACCAACCCAGGGCTTTTGGTGAAAAGACATTAATTTTAACCCAATACAAAGGACAGACCGTCATTGACATAGCATCAATTATACACTGTTCTAACACATTAACTTTAAAACATAATTTAATAGAAATGTAATATTTTAATTTTTATTTTATTTTTTTTATTTAACCTTTATTTATCCAGGAAAGGTCCCACTGAGATTCAGTATCTCTGTCAGGGTAATCCTGGCTGTTGAAGGGATCCAAACATAGAGATCATGCAAACCCACAGAGGCCAGGTCTGGGAATAATCCCAAAATCTCTCACAATTTATTGTGAGGTTTGGTCTCAGTTTTACCACTCATTTGCTAAATCCTTTTATATTTTTTTCAATTTTAAGAGAAGTACAAGTAATTGTGTGGATAGTTTATAAATTTTTTCCCCCATTGTTCAACAACAATTTTGTATATGTTGTAGCTGGGTTTCAGTGAACAGCATACACCAATTCCTTTACACAGGATTTACAATTACAATTTACTCCACATACAATTTTATATAATTGTTTTGTTTGTCTTGCTCCTCCACTATTCTTATTTTTTCCCAGTATTTTAACCTAAACACAAAATGGATTTTGTTGCATTCGTCAGCCTATGTTTCAGCCTACTGAAAAGTTGCAGTAGATGAAAAAAAAAAAAAAAGTATAAATAAATATAGTATTTAATATGTTTGAAAGTGTCATGTGCTTTTGTGTAGGGTGATAGTTATTTATGGTTAATACCAAACTATTGATTGCATGGATTTGTATATATTTAATTTTTTTTTTCTTGACCATGATAACGTTTCACTACATTCAACGCATAGATACTTCATTGTTTTCTTCACCAAGAAGTCTAGACAAACAGCATTACGGATTTATGCGCTTACCCCTGAGGAGGCATGTGAGGTCAGAGGTCATACCATGACACCTGCTGCTAAAGGGACATATGGGCTCCATTTGAATGGGGCCATGGAGTGATGCAGTCTGCAGGGGTCCTTTGACTCAAAACACAGTCCCTTTGCCACCTCTTTTCACCCTGGAGCAGGCTGTGTCAGCTGTATGCAAATTTTTACAGGGCAGTGAATGTGCTGGCTCAGCGACGAAGACGAGCAGTCAGCTCTATGTCCAGGCATCAAAAAGTGAAAAGCCCATAATTATTTAGAAGAATACTCATGTTATTGATTGATGATAGTTGAACACTGTAGCACAGAATTATTGGCTGCAGACAAAAATAAAATGGAAAATAGAGCTACCTCTAGTCTTGCCTAACCTCGTTTTTCAAATGGGGGCGCCTAGTTGAAGCAGTAGACTACCTGGTATCTTTGTTACGTTTTAATTGTTACGGGGTGGGAGACATGGCATATGGACTTGGTATTGTAACCCCTAGGCCTCTCAAACCCATCTGTTACTTATCCCCAAGGATGCTCTAAGTTAAATCAATGCCACACTACTATCAGTGCTTAATCTTGAGGGCAATACTAGTATAAGACTAGGCTGTAGGCCTATGTTTTACAAATTGCAATTCATGTTTACATCACCATTGAAGTTTGCAAGTTTTCTGTGTTACATTGTGTATAGTTTAATGGCATATTTATTATTAGCGTATGATATGAGACATTATCTCGGTATCTACCCTACATGCCCCCTGAATCAGTTCTGGCAGTGGGACGTCCGTTTGTCGTGCATAACCCGCCTCTGCTGCAATTTCATTGGTGAGGCTGCCCTTAAGTGTCCATGTCCTGTGTGCATGAATGAGGCGATTGGCTGCGGTGTTGTGTGACTCCAGATCAGTACGACCTGTCTGTTGAAACGTGCCATGGTGTGAAGCGGATCATTTCCATGGACCATCTGCTCAGCGTTTACCCCTACAACAAAGAAAGGACCCAGGATGGTGTTAGTGCATGTTGGATATCTGGTTCTCCCCGTCTTCGGCTCAGTTAGAAACAGAGGTATGCCTAGTCCCATTCTACCTTAGCTCTCAGTATCCTTTGGTGTTTCTTTCTGTAGCGTGTCTCAACAATTTTAACATCAATGCTGCACCTGCTACACAGCATACGCGACTACAGCGCACATAACCTAATATAGTCGCGGAGACACAAACCCCCACAATGCTGGCCCTTTTTATTTTATGTGGACCTTGTATGTCTTAAATGACGGCATCAGCTGTCAAATGGCAGCTCGTTGTCCTCTCATCTCGTTCAGAGCGCTCCTGTTTCGCTCTTCGGTGTTTACGTGCAGCGAGCCACTGTTAACACAATTAAACCCGATGGCTAATCTTTTGTTTGCCTGTTGTATTACAAGTGTGCCATAGCTGTGAATTGCTTAATAACATCACGTCTCTCGGCCTGGGTTTGACTTTACTTTGGCTGTAGCAATGGGCTGCTTTTTATTGCGGCCCATGATTGCATTTTTCCAACTTTACATTATTGGCACGAGTTGGTAAATTATTAATCCCAACTACATCTATTTGGAGGCAGTGTCCAATTGGTTAGATCACAATGCGTCAAAAGAAAATGACAAATGAGACCAGATATGCACAATTACCGGCTTCTTAAAACCCAGATGTCAAAATCATATTGCCCATCCGTAAGTAACGACTCTGTGTTGATTACGAAATAATAGGTGGCTAGTACACTGCTTAAGTACATACAGTAGCACCAATGATTTCATTGTGCTTTTATTTGTGTTCTTTTTCCTGTTCCATAGTATCGGGGCTGGCTCTACATTCCGCATTCTCAGACCTTTGTCCCCCTCCATTGTGTAGCTAACGATCATCTGCTGCTGTCTGCCGTAGCCTCTGCCTGTTTCTGCATCTAGCTGTATTGTGAATCCCTTCTTCCTCATTTCCTCCTTCCATCTGGAGACGACATTGGCATTTTAAACTGAGTTCCCACTCATACCGTATCCTTCTGTGTAACCGACTAAAGAATAACACCTCTGTAGAAAACACTGTCTTTTTATACTGTCATGTTGCTCTTTAGTGAATAACCCATAGAACTAGACATTACTACAGTCTGTCATTGTGATTTTTCCATTCAGTGTGGATAGACTACATTCTGCTGTAAATTTCTGTAAAGTGGATACATTTTGATTGCTGCTATCTTCACCTCCTCCCCAATGTAAATGTGTATAAACATTTCAAATTTGTATCTAATTAAAAAAAATATATATATTATTATATACCCGCTACTGAAATTGATATGATTGATATGAAAAACCCACAAAACATTACATTTCAATCTTTGACATCTCCAGAATGCTATCCATTTTACAGGGATGTGTATCCTGCACTGCTGTAGAACTCCTTTAGATTCAAATGTGTTTTTTCTTTGGTTGTTGTTTTCTACCCTATATTCTTGTATTAGATCCTAATGCATGGTCATTTACTTTGTTTATTATTTCTACATTGAAAAGCAGATTCCAATGTACTTTTGTATAGAGATGTCCTTGCTGTACTGAAATGTGCTGTAAGCATACACATCTATACCCATTGGATGCTGCTTCTGTTAATATCTACAGAAAGCATGGTCAGGCCTTGCCCTTATGAACTTTATTTGCATGGTATTTTTATGGTTGTATAGGCCGTACTACTCTCTTATTACTATTATCATACAGTGCCACACATACTAATATTTTCCAATAAAGACTGTAGTTTTCTTCCTAACCTTCAGTGTGCTTTTTGCTGATTTCCATGCGTGCTTCCCTTTTCCTCCAGTATGTGCTGTCACCGAGAGAGGCTCTCACTACATGTGCTGTCATTCCTTAGCTGTTTTTACAACACTTTCCACAAATTGCTGCTCATTTCCTTGGGGTGGGACAAACTGCTTATCCATTTAAACCCATTCATGTTTTAATACAGTTTTACAACATGCAGATATTTAATTTTAGAGCTTCGATTTCTTTATAAATCACAAGGTGATCTTTGAGGCATATATACTATGAATAACACCAAATTTCCCTATATATATATATATATATATATATATATATATATATATATATATATATATATATATATATATATATAACATTTTTGGTACAAAAACACATGGAAACATAATTGTCTCAAGGAAAATATAGTATAAAACCTATATTTTAAAATATACCACAGCCACTAAAACAAAATGTTGTATTTCCCTACAATTTTACATAAAGAGTCAAATTGAGACTTGGACACACATTTTATTGTGAGGCTACTCATGTGAATTTAATAGCTTTACTCTTCTTATAGTTGTCCCACTTGAGTCCTGCAGCTGTCCTCTTAAATAGTTGTGGTTATTTATTTGTAGACATGAGACGTCTCACGTTTCCTCAGCTCTCCCTGAAGCTCCAACAGATCCATTTATGTTACTTTTTGCATGCAGCTCCTCATTATTTGCTTTAATTTAATACCTCTCAATTCCTGTCCTCATTTGACCACTGTGAACTATCGCTGTTGAACAGTGTATAAACACTTGCGTCATCATCAAGCATACCAGTGCTGTATCTAACAGTTTATGCATGCACCAGCACAGTAGTGTAATCACAGGTTTGTTTGGCTGCACTAAAACATGCACACTCGCATCTCCCAACGAAGACCAGGGGGCTAAGCATAACAGGCTGCAGGATTATGAGTGAAAGAGATGTGCTTGTGAAGCTGCTGCAGTCATAGGGAGGGGGCAGAGAACTAGCTGAATGTCAGAGTACTGCAGTCGTAGGTAGGAGGGGCTTACTGTCTGTCACACTGCCGTGGGGGAGGGGCTGTCTGTGCAGTGGCTCTAGATGAGGCTGTGACCTCATGCTGGACAACATGCTACACTAACAACCCCAGATGCTCTGAAATGTACACAGAAACAATGTAAACATCATTGTTGACAAGAGATTTATTGGCACATGCAGATTTAATGACAAAAGTAAACTACTTATGGCAATTTTCTGATTTAAAAAGACTGCATTCATTGTCCTCTCAATTGCTTTGTTTGGTCTTTTGTTGTCCTTTAAGCCTATAGAATTTCACACATACACTCTAAAGGTCTCCTTTGCGTTACAAAAACCATTAAAGCAAGCTGATGTATGTGCTTGTTGAGAGTATTTGCAGTTCTGTATAATAATGTGGGATCTTGGTGTGACCACTTTGCTCTCATCTCACCAGCTGGTAAGAAATGGGCTGTTAAATGCAGAGCAAGATCATCCTACTTTATATGCCTTAAACTTCTGTAATTCTTCAGCATTATTACACTGCAATAGTCATTTTAAAGTAACAGGGTTAATATAAACCATATTTTCATTGTCACATTGTATGATTTTGTTTAAGCTGTGTTTTGTCAATGTATTTGTCTCAACAACAGGAGTTATCTTTGTCTTTCCATGCTTACTACATAAATAAAGAGCAGTCTCAGGCAATTATAGCTCAATTGTGATAAGTTGCATTTATTTTCAATAGGAGCACACTTTACCAGGCATCAACACAGCCATGCTACCTCCTGCCGACATTTTCACCTGGGTGCTCCGCAGGCACCACTATCAGCTGACTTTCCTCTAGGACATGCTAGTCAGGCTCCACAAACGACTCTGGCCCCCCACCTGCCCCCTGCGCACCATCCGCCCCTCACTGCCCTCCCAGCGGCGCCTCAGTTCCAGGATGTGCCTGGCCCCCCCTTTCTACCTCAGGCTTTACACCAGCAATACCTCATCCAACAGCAGCTTCTGGAGGCTCAACATCGAAGGATCGTTCCACACTCCAGGTGGGTGTCCAGTAACAAAATAATCATGATTTTATTTTTCATTGTACTGATCGATCTGTCTGTCCAAAATGTTCTCCAAAGTTTGGTTTCTGCTCTAAACAAAATTCTCCTATTGACAGGCGATTGGCTGTATACCTTTCTTTTAAAAAGATGCAAACTGATTAGAGTGGATTCTCAACCTTAATTAAAATTGAATCAACTGCAATTCATTGGCGAGATCAACTCCTCATAGCAATTGACTTAAATTAAACAGAAATGCACAAGGTGACCCTTACAGTTTTTTATTAGGGATTAGATCCATAAATTTGCCATAGGCCATATATCTTGTAGCTTTTAGTTCTTTCAACTAACTACAGTCTGTGTAGACTGTGTGTGAATGATGCCACCACCTTTTCATGTTATACTAAAATACATATTTCAGTTTTTGTTTCATATGAATAGAGGCAGTAATTAGAAAGACACAAACCAGTTTAGCAGTTAAAAATGTCTTTGTTTGTTTTGTGCAGAAGAAATCAGGAACGCATTTCTATGAATCCTCACCGATTGCGTGCAGGCTACGAGTACTCCTCACCTCTCCATATGTCCCAGACTGTCCCACAGCAGCCACGTTATCTGGCAGAAGGCACTGACTGGTGACTACCTTCATTACATCTCACAAGTTCATCTGTAAATACTTTTGAACTGTCTGCATTATTGGCCCCTTGCTTGTTTTTTCAGGGATCTCAGTGTAGATGCTGGCACCCCACACCATCAGTATCCGTTGCAGCAGATGCCACAGCACTATCAGCATTACCTTGCCTCCCCACGTCTGCACCACTATCCTAGAAATACATCATCTGCACAAGTGGTACATTACCTGTTACAGAGATGTAGTAAATAGTTGACCTTTTATTTATGTGGAATTAATAGTTTTCATAAAAGGTGCACTTTGTAACTATTCTGGTAGAGGGTCTGTCATTCGCCTGTCTCAAGCAGGTGATGAACCAGTTAATGTACCCTTAAAAGAAAACATTGTACATCCTATACTCTAATGCTGTAATGCACCCTGCTTTAGATTGTGTGGATTGGTAATGGAATTAATCACCCATCTGTCAGAAAACTGACTCCAAAATCAATGCAGAAAATATGTTGCATATAAGACATATTGTTAATTTCAGCAAAGCAATGGTGAGGCATGCTTCTAGTGAGGACAAAGGAGGTATTTGGCTTAATGTGTACCAGAGCATCACTGCGCTCCTCCTTTAAATCTATTGGTTTTAGGTCACTGGAGAATGGGAGTTAACCACCCTGATTTACTGACTTGCTAGTCTCCTGTTTAGAAGTTTCCTAAAATGTTTTGAGCTTTTTATAAATATGACTTTTTCTGTTTTAGGTTGTACATGAAATTAGAAACTACCCCTATCCCCAGCTGCACCTATTAGCACTACAAAGTCTTAATCCTTCAAGGCATGTCACTGCAGTACGGGAAAGTTATGAGGTAACTGTTATTCTAAAACATACTATTAATCTTATACATCTACCTTTAATTTACGTACACTGTTCACTTCATCAGGAGTTGTTGCAGCTCGAGGACAGACTGGGGAGCGTCAGCCGAGGAGCTGTTCAGACAACAATTGAGAGATTTACCATTCCTCACAAATACAAAAAGGCAATGCTGCCACTTGAACACACACACACTATAGTTGTATTTTGTGTACTCTATAATTAGATTCTCCTCTTTGACTGTTGATTTCACAAATTTACAGAGGAAACCCATGCAGCTACGGATTGACGAAGAGTCTGATGTGGATGAGAAATGCACAATTTGTTTGTCTATGCTTGAAGATGGAGAGGATGTCAGGTAAGAAACATGAAACAGTTATGTTTACAAATACAGATCTTGTGTTTGATTAAAGTAAAAAAAAAAATTGAGTATATTGCTGTTTGTTACTTAACATCAAACTTAACTTTGTAATTTACACTTCCTATTTTAGGAGATTGCCATGTATGCACCTCTTCCACCAAGGCTGTGTGGATCAGTGGTTGGCCACAAGCAGGAAGTGTCCCATCTGTCGAGTTGACATCGAAACACAGCTGAATGCTGACAGCTGATAGACAGACACCCATTTGTCAATCACCTTGTGTGCTTCTCACTTTCTTCCGCCCCCATGTGGGTGCTTTGCCAAATGTCTCCAGACTGTTTGTGACATCATCATGACATTAAACTGAGCCAAGCTGACATACTAACTGCATGAGAGGACCCCTGCGTACTCTCTCCTCTATAAGCACATCTCCTTGGAAGAAGAAGTCGTAAACACATACTCATATGTTCACAGGGCTTACTAGTAGCTTGCTGGTCAAAAGTGGGGTGTTGTGACTGTTGTGGTGTTGTTCCTTAGGTAGCCCTGGGCTGTGTAGCATGTCCTTAAAGCCATGACTTTGTGTCCTGTGAGTGGTTAGTACATAACCCCACACTAAGCTCTCTCTTCTAATTATATATATTAAAATTTTTAGAAATACCTTTCATGTGAATAATCTGCCACACAGGAAAGTTTATAAGCTCATATGTTCTAATGCTGTTTACCTAGTTAACCTTTGTAGTCGTAGTAGAGTAGCAGTAATAAATAAGTAATGTCCGGTGCAGTGGGAAGGGTACCATTTTAGTGTTAAATCTCTCATGCAGCTTTGAAATTTTGCATAAAAAGCCTAAACTTTGCGAACGAAAGAGAGCAGCCCTTGCACCTGGATCTTTATCTGCCACAAGCAGCAGCACGGTCTAAACTTTATGCTTCTTTTATGGTGATGGTGGAGGCTGTTAATATTGCATCTTTCAACCTAACAGATACAGTGGGCATTGCATGAGTTAATCTTGAGCTCTCACAGAACAAAATGTGTCTGTGACATTTACTTTTACTGTCATGTCTGCTCTGATTTGATGGCAGTAAGAGGATACTTTTTTATGTTTACCTAAATTCCTACTGAAAAAGCACACGTGGTAAGGGTTAGTTTTTCTCTCTGTGTTGAATTTGGATTGGTTGATAATTAGGTTTAGACTCTGAAGTGTTTCAAGCAGTATTTCAAGAGCAATCTAGTGTATTGATTTTGTGTATTCATGTGACAGACCTACCCTTGTGGTTGCTATGCTGGTTGCTATGCTGTTTAGCTAGGACATGTAGTCTGTTTTGCAATCGAGGCAGTCTCCCTCTCTCAGTGCACACAGGCATGAGGCAATACACCAACAAAATACACCTAAAAAAATTATGGCATAATTTTTTGTAATTACTCATAGGATCAGGGCTTAAGAATGATGGTAAGGCCTTCACTATCCTATGTGCTGTGATTGGATTTAAACACCCTTTCTGAGAGCCTGTTGGCCATATGATTCAATATGAAGTTATTCCCCTCTGCCTTGTGCATTGCCAGTGCTTATACTGCCTCCACAAGCATTGAAGTCACCAGTAATAAAGTGTTATAGTTTACACAGGGTGTTGTCAGTTGAGATGCCTTAAATATTTAACAATCATAACTTAACTGTAGAAATTGTGAGTATGTATTTAATTTTAGTTTTGGGGCAGTTGACTCATATCTTATTTATTTACAGATAACATAAAATGCTATGAAAAAAACAATTACCTCATTTTTGCATAGTTTTAAATGGGAATGTTTTGCATGCAGTGGTACTTTATGAAACACAAAAGCTCAAGAACAACCCTGATGTTTGATCTTTTCCAGCTGGCGGTGTGATGTTTACTGTCCATGCCTGAGCTACTGAGCCAATCTGTCTGTCACCACTCATGCGGTGCTGTGGATGTATGCTACATTCCAATCAATGCATTTGCTCTAATACCCCATGCTGTGATGTAGTCGACAAACTGCAATGAAGTGAGCTGGTTTTTAATTTATAATTCTTATTTTTTGCACTAACTGTTCAAATATGGGAACCCTCTCACTGGCCAACAGTACTTACAACATTCAACTTTTGTGTGTTTTTGTATGCTCCAGTTTTGTTACAATGCACTATGTTTAAACAATAATCATAAGATATATATTCATTCTTTGCTATTTGGTAACTTAAGTGGAACAAGTGCCTCGCTTTAAGTGTTAACATTAATACAATCAACCCATGAAGCCACCATTGCCTTATTAGTTGCGTGATTAAATGAAAGGGTGAAGAAGGTGCTACTACATTTGACAGGTCTCCAAAAGCCATTGGAAATTCTAAACACTATATCCTCTGCCATACTTATTTTTTGTCTTGTTTATTTATCCATTTGCTTCTTTGCTCACAACTCATTATTGTTTTCCATACAATGGAGGATTTCAAAGCACAACTTTTTGGAAAATGCATGTCTCAGGTGTCAGTACATTACTGTCTGTTTGGTTTAATAGTATATGGTGAGCTACAAACCACATGTAAAGACAATTATTGCTGCTTGAATATTAAAATCGAAGAGAAAATATCCCAAAAAAGTGCCAGTGAAAGGGCTGCCGTCATCCTTGTACGAAAATCTGATGTTTAGCTGTGACTGAGCAGTGTTTTTCAATATAGGATATTTATCTGAAAATAGAACTATTTATAATTAATATTAAAGCAATATAGCATTAATAGTATGTTGTTGATGAAATGAATGGGCATATTGTGAGTAAATATTAGATTTACATATTGGTGGTATTTTTTGTACTTTATTTATTATTACTAATAATAATAATTACTTTATTTATTATTACTAATAATAATAATTTCCAACTTTACTTTGCCAGTTGCGAAATGTCTTGTTTAAATTTTAAGTTTCATGGCTTGTATAATATCATTTTGTATGTGCTCATTTTCTAATAAACTGGATGAAATGGGGGATTTGATTCTAATTCACTAGACAATTGTTAAGTAAATACTAGCTAGGTAGATATAAAACAATTCTGATGACCATATTTGTAAAAATTTCAATGGTGATTTCAATTTCTAGAGTTGTTTATTATAATAATAGTAATAAAAAAAAATCTTAAATTGGCCTTTACAAAACATGTCTTCTTTTCCATAAAAAGCCTTAAGAAAGTAATGAAAGATTTTATCAAATAAAAAAACAAAACAGAATGGCACGTTATTCAAAAATTTATCTATTCCACTTCCTGAGATTACTTTCTTTGGTTGCTTTAGTATTTGGGGTAGAGGACTCTAACAATGAGGCCATCAGCCCTTTTTGTATCCAGCCATTTCCCACAAAGAAATATTGTAGTAACTCCATTCGCAGTGTTTGTGACTTCTACTCGATCTAGAAACCAGCCTGCACTGATGCCAGAGTTGTCATGTTCCACTCTGACTTTCTGCAGCTCTCCCATGTCCAGCATTTCTACTAAGAATCTGTCCGTTTGCCCACGTTCAAAAAGATTACGGAACTTCTGCCGTAGCTGCCGCTTGCCCGAGTCCCCATTGGAGCCATAAATGGAGACGAAAACATTGGCATCTGTACCCGCTCCTTTCTCTTCACCTGTTATCACTATGATCTCGTACTTGACAGGCACCAGACTTCTGGCCTTACTGGCAAAGCTTTCAATGGCCTTGGTGCACTCAAAGGTCTTAAACTCATCCCTCTTTGGAGAGAGTGGGATGAGGCTGTTGCAGCTAAATATGTACCTGGTTACATGAAAAAGATAACAAAGATTAACTGTGTTATCTATACTGAAATTGATAAATCAAGCCAGAAAAGATAAATGCATAGATGTACCTGTTTCCCAACTCCCTTTCAGTGACAACAACTTCCACAACATGCCAGTAAGCCTCTCCCTTCACTTTCTTTCCATCTTTGGGAGTGTGACCAAGGCAAATTCCAGCAATGTCACCAACATTTTTAGATGAAAACTCAAACCTGTCAGTATTTCCCCTAAAATTTACACAAGACATCTGTAAAGACTGGTCTAAAACAGAAATAAAGGATATACTACTTCCACAATTAAACTACATTTATATGATCATATATGGGTATATTATATAGTATGAGCATACATGAGTAGATTTGTTTTTCAGTTCTTACACTGAAACATACCTCAAAAATCTTTTCTTCTTTGAGGAATTCTCCATTACAAATTCCTTTGAACGTCCTTTCCGTCCTTCAAGCACAATCCAGGCATTTTCTTTGGTGTCACCTCCATCAATATCTCCGGTAGTAACACAAATTTCATACTCTTAAACAAATATGGAATAAATAATTAATATTGTTCACATAATTCTCAAAACATATTTAAGAAATGAATGATGATGTTTCAGGCATTACTTGTTTTCTCACTGAGATCCAAGCAGTCATTATTGGCACAAGCCAACTCTCTCATTATTTGTCCATCATCTTCATTTTTGGCTAGCCATCGATCGCAAGGGAATCGAAATGTTTTATCCATCAGCTCATCCTTCACATCAATGTATTCCAGATGCCATCCAGGAGCAAGACCTGACATAGCCATGTGTACAAGAGATTTCATGCACTTTTAGTTAATTAAACCCATTCTCAGACCAACATCAGTCAGAGAATCTGACCTGAGTTATCGTGCCACACTCGTACTTTGGAGAGCTCTCCCAAGCTGAGGATTTCTGAAAAGCGAAAGGTGTCAACCTGTTTTCGCTCAAATTTGTTGGATTTGCTACTTTCTTTGAGAATCAGTATCCCTGTATCACCATTCTCACCAAATATTATGAGCCACACTTTGGCATCAGTACCCGCCCCTATAAAAGTAAAACAAAGGGTATGGCAGAGGAAACATCCAAAGCTGCAAAATACCCCTTTTTCATCGGTTAATTTTATTTTAATAAACAGCATAGTAAATATTCTCTAACATATAACTCCAAAAATATATACAGTACTCTGAATTATTTATTACCAACAATTTAGGGTTTTACCTGAAATGTCACTAGTTTTGACGTGTATTACGTAGGTGGTCTCTTCCACCATCATTTCCTCATCCACCACAGCTGCCATCTCACAGATCATGGTCCTCTTTGGGCCTTTTGTCTTGGAGAGCCAGTCTTCATAGGTAAAGACAGACACTTCCTCTGTGGTGAGGTTACGCATGATTACCTGGAATAATAATATAGGGACAGCATATACAGCACTTTCACTTGTTCACCAGTTTATCTTATACAATGTTTATGATTTACTCATTGAACAAAACTGTAACAAATAAGATACATTTTTATACATTATATCATTCATTTACATGTGGCTTAATTTGTTTGTGAATTAGAAACTTAAATCAAAGATAATAAAAATTTAAAAAAAAATGTAGATTGTTTAGATTGAACACATACATAAAATCACCATACCTTATCAAGAAACCAGTCAGGTCGACTGCCTGAGCCATCAATACGTAGTCTCATTTTCCTTAAAGGTGCAATATCATCAATTTCCATATTAAAGGTGTCTTCTTGACCACGTTCAAATCTGTCAGACACCAACAAACAACATTTTACATTTAAACGGGCCATAACATTATTTTAAATGTTATTTAAAACAGTTTCAGTCACCTGTCTTCATTTTTCTTGAGCAACATTTCCTCAGTGCTACCATTTATTCCAAATACAGACATGAAGATATTTGTGTCAGAGCCTGCATTCTGCACATCCCCTGTGACCACTGTAACTTCATAAATGATCTGAAAGAAGAATACTCCCAGATTTAGCCTATTACTTGAGTGCTGACAATACATTTTTTTCTTATATTGACATACCTTTTGAGAAATGGATATAGCCTCTGCATCTAGGACATTAAACACTCTAGCTGTCAGGCCATCACCACGATCCTTGGCCAGCCAGCATTTGCAAGCAAAGATATATTTGACCCCTTTGGTTGGCACAGCAACAGACACCTCATCAACAAGCCAGCAACTTTCTGGAGTGGCTCCATCATGGCCCAGCTGTAGAAAATCATTATCTTTGAACCACTGTGTGTATTGTATTTTTCATGATTTTGGCTTCACATATGTTATAAAGTCTACAATTGCCCCAACACACTCACCTCCATCCTTTTGATCTCCCCAACATCTGATCCATGACACTCAAATGTCTCCAGGGAACCTGCCCCAAAGCCCCTCCTCCCATCTGGCAAGTCCAGCCACAGTCTGTCTGTCACACTAAGATTGGCCCCAGTGATGATGACATATGCCCTGCTGGTGGTGCTGGCATCCCGATCCAGCCCAGTGCAAATGGTGAAGTGATAGGGTATGACTGCATGGAAGGATGAGATGAGTAGCAATCCTCTGAATTACTCAAAATGGTTTGTGATATTAGTGATTTCTTACTTGGCAGTTCTTCCTCCTCTCTTTTCTTTTTCTTTTTATTCATGTTACTGTCGACAGTTTTCAAGGCTGGGACAGATTTCTTTTTATTGTGTAGGCTTTCCCTTACTCCCTCAAAGCCCTAAAGGTGTCAAGTATTATAGTGACAGTGGCAGTGTGTAAATTGCAGGTCAAACCACATATTTACATTGTAGTTGTAATTAATACATGATGCAACAAAACAGTCAAGCCACAAAACATAAGTTATATGAAAAAATGTCATACCTTAACATAGAAGACTCTTTCTATCTGTCTGTCCTCTCTCTTTTTGGAAAGCCACCGTTCACATAAAAAGAGGAAGACTTCCTCTGTATCCACATCATACACTTCAACCTGGTCCAAATACCAGTCCGGGCTTACCATACTGTTATCATGGCGGATTTTTATTTTAAAAACCTGTCCCAGGTCAACTGCTTCTATTGTGAACTTGTCCACCTGAGAAAACAACCAGTAAATACAGTTTATTTGTCGGTGACGGTGCTGTTGATGTGATAGGTAAATGAAGAGATGAAGTGAAGTTCTTACAGATCCTCTTTCAAACTTGTTACTGTTTGTTTCAGATTTGCTGAGTTTCCTCTCTCCTGTGTCTCCCAGGTCTCCATAAATTGTCATAAAGACATTTGCATCAGTACCAGCCCCGTACACATCACCTGTTATCACTGATATTGTGTATGTGTGAGCTGTTGAGGAGAAAATTATGACCCATAAATGAGTGATTCAAGTCAAATGAAAAACTATCCCTTGTTCAGCTTATTAAGATGTAAATGTCAAAAAATGAATATCTCAATATACAGCCTACACATTTTTTGTATCACAATAATGAGATGATAATGTGTCTATAATAGGGGTGTGCAAAAATATCAGAATATCGATATATCATATCGTTTAATGTGATGATACAGTATCGATAGCGTGGGCTACTGTATCGATACAGCAAGAGTATTTTTACGTGTGATTTACTAAATTATTTTGTTACAGTGCTACAGTTTTGTGGCTTGTGGAGTGAAAGAAAACTCATTTATGCAACACATTTGACATTTTCACTGTTTTGATGATTAAAATGTTTGTGTTTCATATGAACCTTGCACAAGAAGTGGTTTAACTAAGACTTTAGTATCACAGCCATGATTTAGACTTTACTAAACCTTATCAAATTGATTTGAAATATATCATATCAAATCGAAAGTGCACTGTATCGATATATGTATCGTATCGTGGCCTGTGTATCGAGGTATGTATCGTATCGGCAACTTCTTAATGATACCATACCCAGCCCTAGTCTATAAACATATTTGTTGAGGTTGAAATATCGCACCAATGTGAAAAATGCCAAAAAACAAAACAAAAACAAAAAAACACAAATATGCTTTTATACCCTAGTCTATACTTTTGATAGTATTTTGATATTATCCTGTAGTAGGTCTATCTCCAACCTCTACTCATATTTAAAAAAAACATAAATTGGAGTTATTATTTTTCTGTTAATAACAACACGTGGTTTATATTGTGTAGGGTTAACATACTCTCCAATGCATCCTCCACTTCAACTTCACTGACTTTAAGGCTTCCATCTCGTGAAAGTTTCTCTGTAATGATGTCCGAGGGCACCAACTCTCTCACAGTTTCTCCATCATCCTCTGATTTGGCAAGCCAGCGCTCACATGGGAAGATGACAGTCTCTGAACCCTGTCAGTGAGACAGCTGTGTTGACATCTTGTATATTTACATTGGAATTTACATTATACAATATTGTTGAGAAATACTCGACTTGCTGATCAAGTCAAGGGTTGTACGGTTTCTGGCTCAGTTCATTCCTACTGGCCAAGATAGTTAATTTATACAATTTAATTCAATATCAGTTTTACCCATTATTTAAATTTGAAAAATATATATCTGTTTTTTTTTTGTTTTTTTTTTTTAAACCTTACTACTGAAAACCCCTTTATATTCATCTCCTAAGCACATAGCATTTTTAAGACTATAGGCAATATTTGGATCAACCTTTCCTTTCCTTAGCAATCTTCTGATCTCCACCCTGTCCAGATGCCAGCCTGGATTGACTCCACGGTTATCATGTCCAATACGAATTTTCTCAATAACATCCCCCACATCTTCTAGCTGCAGGTAAACACATGTATGACATAACAATTCTTCTTGTTAGTAACTGCTTTATTGACATAATAGTGACAGTTTGGGGAAACTTTATTTCTTTGATTTACCTCAACAATAAACATGTCTTCTGCTCCTCGTTCAAAGTACATTATCCTCTCTCTCTTGTTGACACACAGGGACTTCTGCTGAGTACACACTGCATCTCTGCCATACAGGACAATAAAGACGTCTGCATCTGTGCCAGCACCAAACACGTCACTGGTGAAAGTCTTTATCTCATAAGGCACAACTGAAAAGAGATTAAAGTTAAAGGTTAAACCAGAGAATCCTGACTATAACAAAATATGAATGAGGCTGTTTATACATGGTGTATATGTCTCTGTTTGTAATGGATTAGGAAATAGGTCCCTGACAATGGCACCATCATCCTCTCCTCGATCCAACCAACGGCCGCAAGGAAAGCGCAGTTTCTGTCCCAGTGATTGGGCATCAATGTCCACCCAGTCAAGAAACCAGCCTGCCGATCCTCCACCTAAACAAAAGATGTTCATTTATAAAAAAAAAAAACTTTATGAGGCACAGAGATAAAGATGTTACATTACCACAATTGTCATGTCCAATGCGTATCTTCTTAAGTGGTCCCAGGTCTACCGCTTCCACAGTAAATTCATCAGTCATTCCACGCTCGAACTTGTTTTTATGAGTCTTTGATGCTTTAAGATTTATTAATCCTGCAAGTACACAAATGGAATATATACATATCGGAATATGAAGTGGTTTAACAAACAACTAAATGTTCAAATATTACCTGTATCATCTTTGGTGCCATACAGTATCATGAACACATTGGCATCAGTTCCCGCATACTTCTTGTCTCCAGTTTTGATTTTGACAGTGTATGTAGTTGACATTGCTTTTGTAAATACAACCAAAGTTTGTTTTGTTTTCAATAGAAAAAATATATAGTGTGTGTTGTCTTCTCACCCTTTTGCTCAAGACCGAGTGTGGCTTCAGAGTCTTCCTCATCATCATCCCCTTTTTTCATAAAGGCCTCATCAACAGGAACAAGCTCTCTAGCAAGCTGTCCATCATCTTCATCAACTGCAAGCCAGCGTTTGCATGGGAAAAAATATCTAAAAAAATATATAGGAAAAAGGTCCTAGTGATTTAAGCGCTCTAGATTACTGCCATTTCACACCACTAGGTGGGGTAGTATTAATATGTGTGTATCAATGTACTAGTGACTCAGCAGTCATACCTCATATATATATATAAATATATATATATAAAAAAATAAAATAAATAAATATATAAATAAATTTATGTGTGTGTGTGTGTGTGTGTGTGTATATATATATATATATATATGTATATATATATATATATATATATATATATATATATATATATATATATATGCCAGCCTGGATATATATCTGCTTACGTAGAGTCATCTTTGTTGTCAATAATTTCCACTCTATCTAGAAACCAGCCAGCACTGGCCTGGCTATTATCATGCCGTATTCTCAGTTTCTTCAGCACACCAAGATCCACAGCTGTGATGATGAAAACATCCTCCTGTGAATGAATAAAAAGATTATGAATAAAAGATTAGAAAATGTCAGTAAATTTGTTAAATTGTATATTGAGTGACAGTGTGTTTACCTGGCCTTTTTCAAATTTATTCAGATTGTTACACTTTCTAAGATGACGCTCCCCTGTGTCGCCTGTCTCTCCATAAATGTTAATGTAAACTTTGGCATCAGTGCCTGCGCCCCACATATTTCCAGTGAAAACATGCACTTCATAGGAATTCACTGAGAAAAAATAGTCAAGATGAGACACATACCATAGATATTTTTTGCAGATGGTCATAATATGGTCATACTACTTTGCTTACCCTCAAGATCTTCATTATCCTCTGACAACAGTTCAACCACAATCTCCCCGTCTTCCTCATCACGGGCAAGCCAGCGATTACAAACAAAATTAAATGTTTCCACCACCTCTTGCATCTCCTCAATTATTTCTACCTCTTCCTCTTCTTTCTTTTTCTTTTTCTTGTCTTTCTTCTTATCTTTTTTGGTGTCTTCCTTTTTTACCTCGATCTGCACCATGGCCATAGTTAAACGCTTGATATCGACAGTCTCAAGGAACCAGCCGTCACCTAGTCCTTTTCCATCATGGAAAATACGAATCTTATAGATTTTACCCACATCGTGAGCCTCAATCTGAAGAGAAGTAGAAGTGTCAGTATTTTACAAAATAATATTGATTGACCAATGAACTTTTACACATACCTTAAAGATTTCAGTTGTGCCACGTTCAAAATTATTTGACCGACTTTTAAGAGTGAGCACTTCTGTTTTCCCTTCATCGCCATAGATTTGACAGAAGACATTAGCATTAGTTCCTCCTGCTCTTATATCTCCTGTAACAACTGTTACTTCATAGTTGATCACTATTCAAAAGCAAAATCATGTGTTAATCATGTTATAATGTTAATGTAATGTGTATTAGTAACTTAAAGACATTTTCCATTACATCTTTCAATGTCTAGAGTCTCACTGGGGTAGATTTCAACCTCTACTTTCCCATCAGCTTCATCTTTACAGAGCCACCTGTGGCTTGGAAACATGTACTCTTTTCCATGAACAGGTACAGAAATTTGCACACTGTCTAAAAACCAACCAGCACGTAGGCCCTCATTGGTGTGACCAATCAAAAGACGGTTGATCTAGAAGCAAAAAAACATTTAGAATGTAAGGGTTTGCCTGAATAGTTTATTTGTGGACCACTTTATGTGACATGTTAAAAAAAATAAAAAACTTGCCTTTCCGATGTCAGATGTTTCCAAAGTGAAAATGTCAGTACGTCCTGTCTCAAAGTAGTTTCTTAGGTCATTATCAGAAACGGCCAGTGTGACTTTGTCACTGTCTCCCTTCTCTCCGTACATCTTGACAAATACTCTGGAGTCTGAGCTGGCCCCATTCACACTACCTGTCTTGATCGCTATGTGGTAACTGATATCTGCAAAGTGAAGCTAAACAGTAAGCCAATATGTATTTATGTTTTAATATTGTTATAATCTGTTGTTGCTGTTGTTATTTAACTATTTATAAAAACAGAAAATATTAGACTCACTAAATAGTCGAACACCTTCTCCAGCTGGAACTAACTCTCTGACAATCTGTCCATCATCCTCGTTACGGTCCAACCATCTATAAACAGAATTTTTAAAAAGTTCATTTTAATTGTACCCTCAGTGAATCAAACCCAAATATGGCAAGTTAAATTGAATTACTGGTGTGAACTAATGGATATTTCTCATCCTTGGTATGATATATGTGTAATTAGGCTAAAAGCCAAACAAACACACAGGAAGCAGCTCTTTAGAGAGGTAACACAGCACTTCCATCCTGCGGTTTAGGTTCAGTTACTTGAGTAGACTGCTGGCTAGCCACTGTGCATTTAGTCCCTATTTGTAATGGCAAGCACATCGATCAGCTGCCTAGCTACTTAAACACATGCCACTGGAGAACTAGAGAGAGAAGTATGAGTTAATTTACAGCACTCACAGGCTTCATAATTACTAAACATCCACTAGTAGGCTTCTGGTGTTGTTAAAAGGGTATCTATCAATCAATCAGTCAATCAATCAGCCAAACTATTGCGACTTGCCTGAAACATGGAAACTCAATAGCCAAAGACTCAGGCTGTCCTTCCTCTCGAACCATCACTTTATCTAGGAACCAGCCGCAGCCTCCTCCACGGCCATCATGACCCACGCGGACCCTTCTCACTTGCCCCAGTGTCACCGACTCAATGAGAAACTCATCATGCTAAACAACAGAGACAAGCACTTTACTGCTACCATTGTTTGTAGATGAAATATGATCATTGACAAACTTACATTTCCTTTCTCAAATTTGTTGACATTATTTTTGCTCATTATCATGGGCCGTTCTCCAGTGTCTCCTAGATCACCAATTATATTAAGGAAAACCGTTGCATCTGTACCACTACCACTGACTGTGCCAGTACAGATAGTGACACGATACTTTATCACTAAGCACATGTGAAGAAGTCAATAGGTCAATACTTTGGTTATTTTTGAATGGTGACAAATCAACACAGAGACTAACATGGCAGCGGATCCTCAATCAAAGCTCCAGTAGCAGACAGCTCTCGGACAATCTCATTGTCATCTTCATTAATGTCCAGCCAACGGCCACATTCAAATGAATACTTCTCCATAGTCAGAGTCTTCAGCAAAGTGACCTACACAGTGAGAGACAGCAGAGGTAAGATGCCAAAAAGAAGATAACATTGACACAGTATAATCATATAGTCTGAATGGAGGATACTGTTTAAATAGTCCATAGGAGTCTATAGAAGTACTGTTTTGTACTTATTGTTTTAGAAGTGGCAAAAGACAACAGATTAGATGCTTTAATTGACACTTCACACTGACAAGCTAAGAGATCCAACCTTAGCTAAATGCCATCCAGCAAATGGATTTCTCTTCTCATGCCAGATACGCAGTTTCCTTAATCTCCCGATGTCTGGTATTTCAATCTAGAATTAGGAGGTAAAAAAACTACTCAACACAAAAGCTTACTCAGGCACTTTCAAATGTTTGTAAGATACCTACAATAAATTTATCAACCTGCCCTTGTTCAAAACTATCAGAGTTGTTTTCCAGTTTAATTTCATCTGATTTTCCATTCTCTCCATATATTTGAAGAAAAACCTGAGCATCTGTTCCAGCTCCTTTCACATCTGATGTCCAAATCCAAAGGGACCAAGGGAACTCTAGAAGGAATAAACAGCTTGTTATAAAAGATGCATGGAAACATTTTAGTCTATTATTATCGGAGGCTAGTGATGACCTTAGATACTTTCAAATATTAAAAATGTGTGTCACAGATTGTACCTACTCTTTATTTTCTTTTGCCTGAGTGAAACCATCTCATACAACTCTCTTTCAATCAGACCATCGGCTTCATCTTCATCCAGCCACATGCCACAGGGAAATGTCTGTTCAATACCTGTGAATGGACAGTAAACTACAACCTGGGGGAAGTGTACATTTTTTTTATTAAAACAGTTGCACTTTTACTGTGATTTTTGTGATTTGTGATGTGTATTACCTTTTCACAATACCACCCTGCACCAACTGCACCATTGTCATGTCCAATGGTAACCCTGCTAAGTGGACTGATGAGCTCACAAATCTCCACATTGAAAACATCAATGAGACGCCGCTCAAAAGCACCACCCTCTAAAAAGATTTTGCCACTGTTTTTTATGCCTTTGGTGCCATGCATAACCATATGGATTTTAGAGTTGGTACCAGCACCTCTAACATCTCCAGTCATCACTTGTACATTGTAAACAATTCCTGCAAATAATCCATCATAAAATGTAATGTACTGTATGTTTATATTATTTAGAATAACAGCTTTGTTACTCACCCATTGGCTGCAGTGATCCCACCAAAATGTCCCTTTGTATTTTACCATCATCTTCATCCATGGCAAACCACCGATTAACTGGAAATTCATACACTTCTTTGTTTCCCATGTCATCAATTACCACCTGGAAACAAACAAACATCCATATAGTAGAACTACCTGTCATAAGTTATAGGTGCACTGTGTAACTTTTGAGGTTGGGAGTCTGCCACCATGGAGATGATATTGCTTATCCTATGATGTTCCACAATATGTTATTAAACTTATGTAAGATGCATTTCTTCAATTATGGGTGTTTTATTGCTTTAAAATACCTTTAAAAAAATATGTATTCTTATTGTGAGTGGGGTCTCCACTTCACAGTTCTCATCTGTAAATTTGCCCGGAGGTGTTTCCTGCTTCTCTCTATGGAAATTGATATACTTGCCATACTTTGTCACACTGTAGACAAAGCAATAATATCTCCCTTAAGATGAGAGAGAGAGAGAGAAAGAAACTGGCTTGCCCTCTACCAGAAAACTTACATAGTGCACCTTTAACACATTATTATTCAATTGTGGAATGAGGGCCCGATCTTGCCCCTAGTCTTAGCACTTAGCGCAAGTGTGGGGCGTGGAGCACTAAACAGGAGGTGTGCCGTGGCTGAATATCAGGTAGAGTGGAGCAGACTGAGGGCGTGGTGTGGCGCGTTTAGTGAATTGCCAGAATCATAATAATAAATATCAAACGAGTCCGCTGAAAAACAGCGTGTAACATGCTCAAGGATTCTATGATTTGGAGATATATTAGGATGATAAATGCTTAACAATCATAACATGTTTGTGTGCTGTGCGGGAGCCGTCCGGGTGCCCTCCCACAGTAGAGCACAGCCCCTCGCCAGCTCCCTGTATCAGCTCAGCTCTGCTCTATAATTTGGTTTGATCTGGATCTGTACCAAAAGCTGCCGTTTACAGCGATGTCCAAAAGTGTGATTTCTTACTCTGTCTGCGATGTCGACTTCCTCACATTCTCGCGGCCAGACTCTGCGCGCGCATTCACTGACAGTTCAGGGCTGTGACAGACGCACGTATCATATCTGTGCGCAAAGCTGTAACATCAGAAACATTTATATGCCAACAAACGTATTCCATAATCCGCCAGACATCCACCTGTATGGGACCAAATGCAATGGACACCAGTGAGACAAGAATGTGAGCGGTCAGCGGTAGCAGCGGCTGACAATCGTACCTCAGGTGAGTCTGTTGGAGCGGAACGCCGGGACTAGCAGGAGCGGGGTCGAGAAAGCAGCGGGTCTGCGGTGGGATGGGGAAAGCATATGATAGACACTGGTCTTAAACTAACGTAGAGAAAACTATAAAAGGTTGATGTGTGCGCGATGCACGGGCTTACAGCGGTGCGCGTGCATTAGAGGGGTGTTCGGAACACAAACCCAGTCAGTTCTGTCATGGCCCACACAAAATTCTACATTCCTGGTGCCTCTATTGTTGTACTTGCGTTGTGGGGGCTCCAGTGCTGTTTTATTGTACTCATATACATATTTTCCCCACAGTCTGCTTTGATGCCTGGTAATGAGGCAAAGATTGCAGACTTTACTCACACGGGCGGTGCTTTTAAATGCCACAGCGGTCACAGATTGGTTCAGATGCAGCCACCATATATGTACTTGTACCGTCCCACTCCAGCCTCCAGCAGCGAAGTACAGCCCAACCTGGACACGCCCACTCACTTGCGCTTAGTGCTAAGACTGGGGAAGATCGGGCCCTGAGTGTCCAAACCTTTGACAAGAAGGCCAATGTAAACATAGCAAATGTGGTAGGCCTATAAGTTTTACAGTTAATACCTTATCCAGAAACCAGCCAGCTGAGGAACCTCTGTTGTTGTGTCCAATGGTTATTTTCCTCAGACGTCCCAAGTTAGGAGCTTCAATTGTGAATTTGTCTTCAGAACCACGTTCAAAATTGTCTTTGTCACTGTCCAGTCGTCTCTCCCCTTTTGGAACACAAATGACCTCCTTTTAAAATGTCAGCAGCATCTTGCCAGTTAGGCTAAATGAAATGAAGACCTAAGATTCATTACCTGTGTCCCCATTTTCTCCAAAGATATTCAAGAAAACATCTGCATCAGTCCCACTGCCTTTCATGTCAGCAGTGAACACGCTTACTATGTACTTATTAACTGTAAAAAATAAGAATAAAGAGTAAAGTAGTCTACATAACCTAAAAAACATCTTAAATAGCCTATGTGCACATCTTGTGTATAACCTTGATTCTTCAGTTTATACTGGCTACATAACATTCATAGGTAGATAATAATGTTATGTTAATTGTTAATACTAGAGTAATGTTTTTTAATCTATAGGCTGGACTATGGCATGTGAGGTAGTTCAAAGAGTTCAAACACTGAGCAAGAATGGTTTTGGTTGATGTGAGATGTGATGCGATGGTCATATTTCAGGTACGCTGGTTGACTACATTGCATGTAGAACTGAAACATGAACATTTTATATTCACTAACTGATAATGTTAAGATAGCTATCAATGTGGCTACCTGACATGTTGGCCAACGCAAGCTGCTCAGCTGAATATTCTGTGTCTTGTATGTGTCACTTAGCCTTGTCTATAGTGTTTACATAATTGCGATTCATATTTTATTAAGTTATTGTAATACAGGCAGTGACCTACGTTTAGGGACGTCCATGGGGTTCAGGCTGCCCAGAAGATCCCTGACATAAAGATTGTCACCTTCTTCCAAACTCAACCAGTTGTTGCAGGCAAAGTAAAATCGTAGATGTGGTCTATTCATGTCAGTGACCACGACCCTGTCCAAGAACCAACTGGCGTTCATTCCGGTGTTATCATGCTCAATCCTGTGGAGGCATCACATCAGTCAAATACACTCAGGTAATGGACTAATCATCAACTTCTCACTTATTTTAACGTTGCCCAGGTAAAGAAATCTAAAACAGGTCTATTATATTTGCAGTTCTGTCTGACTTTATGACACACGGATCTTCTGTCCAATCTGATGTCCACAGTGATGTTGACATATAATCCATAAACAGTATGCCTATTGAATTTCAAGTTGTGGTTATGTACCTCAGCTTTATTATTGGGCCAACATTGTGAGTCTTGATGCGGAAAACATCTGTCTTATTCTTCTCAAATGCTGTACGACTTCTGCAAATTGGAAAATAATAACAGTTAAAAATAAATAATTTTGTTCAAAGGCTATACTATTGTAAAATAGACATTTCAATATTAAGTGAAGATAACGTTAACACATTTCAGACTTTGTCAGGATGCAAACTTTGGAATTCATGCAAACTAATGGATGTTTGCAGTGAATGTCCAAAGACTTGCATGTCTTATCTGCCTCGATACAGATTGCCGGGGCAAATATGTTATGGTACCTGTATCATGTTGTAAATTTTTTATTAGTCATTACACAATACAGGCTTGAGTGATGCATATCTGAGTAAGGCAAAACTCTTCATTGGCCAGAAACCATAGCCTATCCTATTTTCTATAACGACTATAATTCATTAATTAATTATTATTGAAGTCTCCATGGGGATGAAAATTAATTGGTAAGGTAGTGCCAAGTTTAGATGGTTTTGGTAACAGTGGATTACAATAAACTGGATCCTATACACTGCAGGTAACCTTATCTGTCAATCAATGAGTGCTGAGATAAAGGGAGCCTGCTGCTGAGAAGATCCCCTGAGAGACATTTGATCAGCTCCAGAAATGACATCGTGGTCTTCTTTCATTTGTTCCCTAAATTAAAAGAAGACCTGCCATGTCACATAGTTTCTCCTTACTCCAGATATTTTTGTATGAGGACAATTAGAGAAACATTTTTCTCTAACATTTTTCTCATATTCATTAAAAAAGATTCTGTCTCATACAGAGTAGTAGCACAATTCAAAACAGTGGTGCTCTGAAAAACATCCTTGGAGGACTAAAAATATACCTCTTTTCTGTGCTGTAGTGGAACAGGACAAAATGAAACAAAGGGATTATGTGTTAGTTCACATAAGAATGAGATGCACTGTATATGTTTAAATGCATTGTTTGAGGTAACGTTAACCAACATAAAACATTAAATCGTCATATATATACAAAAAGAAAAAAAAAAAAAAAAACAGTTTTATGTATCGTTAACAAAGAACCTAAACAAATTCAACAATTCAGTAATGATCAAAACTTACTTGCTGGCCAGATGAACTTTAGGTGTGACCCCAAACTCTCCAAACAGAGTAACAAACACATTTGCATCAGTTCCAGCTCCTTTTACATCCCCAGTGACAGTGACCACTTCATAAACTGAAAAATATGGCACATGAAGTGTTTTGTGTAGGCCTAAAAGTGCAGTCCTTGACAGTGAAAAAGCAAAAGAGCAATAGTCCTCCTGAACAATTTGAGCATAGTCACTGCAATAAGGACACAGTTTGAGATCTAGTTTCAGTAGAGTTTTTTATAGAAAATAAGATACAGATGTGAGAATGAGAGATTAACTTGGAATAGTACAACCATAAAAAGGCAACAGCAGAAGCAGCTAGTGTTTTTATTTTTTGATACATGGGGGAAACCCTATTTATTTTTGGTTTTTTTTTTTTCCAGTACTTGTTCAAATGGGTGTCTAGTGTAGAGGTTTCTTGTTGATTAGTACTGGGGCATGGATTTTTGTGACAACCTTACAAACGTTAATACGTTAACGTTAATACTGTATAGCATTATTTTACCTGTTTTATGAGTTGCAATTTGCCCCTTTTCTCAGTTTATTTAACTGTGATTAAATTTTAAGCTGTGATTTTTTTTTGATGCAGCTGGGTTTACCTGGCTGAAAGCCCTGTGCCTTGTGCACTCGGACAGCACCCAGCACCTGTCTGCCCCAGGTTCTCTGTTTGGCCTCATTCACGTGGAACATTGCTATGCTTTCAACCAATGAACAATAACACAGGATATCCCGGGGCACCCCTCATACTCACTGTACACACATACATTGCCACACAGTATTTCTCATGACTTTCAATAAAAAATAATAATGTATTTGTTTTGTATATGGCATCTTATGCATGTGCAAGATGTAATTGTTAGAGTAAACATACCCTTTTTTTTGTAGTATTCATCTTCATAGCCATCTGAAGAGTCAGTGTGATAGTCCAGGAGTTCTTTCTGGTAAATTGCTGCATAGTCAACCTGCTTACTTTTATATTTCTTTCCCTTTTTCTTCTTGTCATCGTCACTGTCAGCAGAGCCCTTTTTGGCCTTTTTCTTTTTCTTCTTCTTGTTGTCTTCATCTTCCTCTTGTTCCTCGATCAGTGGCTCCTCGTCATCATTGCTGTGGGGTTTTTTCTTCTTCTTTCCGTCTTTAGACTTTTTGTTCTTTGAACCCATCTCTGCTCTGTCTAGATGCTCAGAGGATGATTTAGTTTTCTTCTTCTTTTCCTCCTTGGCTTTGTCTCTCACTTCACTTTTATGACTCTCAGACTTGTCCTTTTTGGATGTAGGTTTTGGATCATTATTGTTTTCTTCTTCATCCTCATTTTCAATCAGTGTGGCACCATCATCCTCTGTGGTTTTCTCCCTCTTCTTTTTCTTGTCTTTTTCCCTGTCTTTCTTCTTGGCTTTGACTGGGGCCTCCTGATTTTCAGTTGCCTCAGGAGTCTTGTGTTTCTTATGAGTCCAGTCTCTCTTGGTGGCGTCCTCCCTGTGTCGCTTTGGCACTGTCTCCTTCACATCGTCATCAAGCTCTTCGGTTTCTCCTGAAGCTGTGGATTTTTTCTCTTTCGACGGCATCTTTTATTTATCCACTTCCCTGGTCTTTAGTTTCGTAATTGTGGCCTTGTGTTTCTAATGTGGTAAGACAATTCATTTGACCTTTGGAGGTTGAGATGCTCCTAGACCCTGGATTTCAGTGGAGCCTGGAGTAAGGTCTAGATGCAAACACGTGATCATACCTATGGCCTATGTAATGCTGAAGCTCTACCATCCAGACAGTTTGGACATGCAACTAATAGACAGTACTCATGAAAAATTACTGTCACCTCGGTGGTCACGTGACTGTGGGGAGAAAGCCCTGTGAAAAAGGAGCCTTGCTTAGAGAACTTATCCACGCAGCCACAGTCCGCTCCATTATTCATAGTGTTAGGATCGCTTTACTGCAGGGGGTGTCTCGCTTTTACCTAGACACACACCCAGACTGACCGAAACACGAGCGCCAACATTTTCTGACAACTGCAAATTAACTGTGTCCTGAACCCAATTAAGAGTCATTGGGCTTTCGACAGTTCTCTTACCTATTCTGAACCAATGCAAGTGCTCCTCAGTCTGGGTCAAAGTATCTTATATAATCATATCATCATCATATAATATTTTAATCAATACTATAGATTTTAGAAGACATTTAAAACTTTAAAGTTTCAAGAAAAAAAAATCTGTCTTTATAATTTGTGCCCTAATTTTTACTTTAATTGCATTGCCAATAGTAATTCTTTCTCAGAACTATGTAAAACTCCTCATCTTAATTAATCCTAATTGTTACACAACTACATAGCAAAATGTGTTGCCACACAGACTGATGTTTAATGTTAATCTTTTTGCAGTTAATCATTTCTTGTGTTTGTTCATGATCTGTACTCTTACTGTAGAGCATGTCTCCTGCAGACATTTGGCTTTCGGCCCAATAATGCCATTAGCCTTATTACAATGCCTTGATAAAATCAGAAGGTAGCCCAGAGTAGGGACATATCCATATTTCAATGTCAAATACTTGCAGATGTCTGACCTTACATAGGGTTATTCCATGTCAACGATAACATAACATTACATAATATTTGCAAAATGTAAGCAGCTGTGCTAAGCTATATAATGATCAGGGGTGAAAGTTTATATAACTCACTCTACTACCCCGATACCCATTTTCAACAAACATTTAGGCACAGATCTGTGTGAATATATCCTAAGAATTTTATTTACAAACATAAAGAAAGTTGAGAGTTTAAAAACACTTTATCCATTATGTAACTTACACAAACCTGTTTTCTTTTTTAGATGCTTCAAAATATAAGTAACAGTGAATCTCCGATATACATACTGTCAGTAAAAAAGTAACATCAAATAATATTTAGAAATATCATTCCTAAATTATGAGCAAACAAAATCAAGAAAAGCTTACATAAAATTATTAGCAAAATAAGATTATTTTAGAACATCAGGGCTCATAGGTGCAATGCTTTTTTACAGTGCAAATCCAGACTTGCAGTCATGAGGAACAGAGCAATAGCAAAAGATCTGGGAAAAGCACTCATCTTCATTCTGACATCAACAAGGTTTTTACACATATCATTACATTTTCATCTTTCATTAACAAACAACTTAACCTTCATACTCTGCCAGTACAAATCAATGTAAGCTAAAGGCTTGTCAAATGTAAACATAGTGTAATGGGTACTAAAGCAGGCAGGCACAATGCTAAGTACTGAGAAACATCATGCAGAGCATCACATGTGAAGGAAGTTGTCAGAAAACTACCTATAATTTTCCTTTAGACTGGGCCAAATTATTTTAATTTCTCAATTAAATAAGCAGTATACATGGGTGAATTCTTATTTTTGTGGACGGCTTTTAAAGCTTATAAGGCAGTATGGCTTAAGACATAGAGAGGCTGGGTTGCTCAACAGTGCTATGTTGCTTTTTAAACAAACTGTAAATAACAGGAACTGTTTTATCAAATTTGTGCCATTGAAAACTACAAGCCAGATTAAAATTACAACACAGATACCTGTTTTGAATTCTTCACTCAAAACACCAGAAAAACATTCAAACAAAATTTGCCTTTGAAAATAGGCAAGTTTTAAAAATACTGTTATTATTTTACATTAAAAAGTATACCATGTCTATTCTAATTTCTTTTTAGCTTTTTATGACTCCAGTTTGTCACAACATTTAAAGCTGCCACAGACAGAAAGAAATGAATGGGAGGTGTAATTTTCTGTGCACCATAGTGTAAAACAATCTGTAGAGCGGAGCCACAAGAAAACATGTATCACAGAAACAACATCACTATGAGAACACTTCTTCCACTAGAGGTAAGCCTCATATGATCCAGAAGCTTACTAAATCAGTATGATATTCAAAAAGGTGTAATAAGCAAGCAATTTACCATGAACAATTTTTTTAAGGGATCAAAATAGGAACAAACAGTGTCAAATCAGTTATATATGGAATTACATGCAGGGCCCAGTGTGTAGATTGATAATCCCACGAGTATGCATGTGGATAAAATTGAAAATCTCATGAGGCATTGCATGAAAGCCTGGCCGCGGCTTGACATTGTCATAGTAATGGTGCGTGATAAAGATGCCAGAAGGATTCATTGGGAATGCCCAGAAACCATAGAGATGCACCTCCTCACACATCTCCAAGGCAGCCGTGACCAGCATCAGACCACTGCTCAGCCTTTTGGCTCGGACACCCTGCACGGCCCAAAAGCGCTGCACATTGAGCAGGTACTGTGGGTGGAAGAAAAACACACCTCTCTGAGAATCGAAGTCATCTAGCATGTACTTGACTCGAAAAGATACATCAGTGTTGCGGGTGTTGTAGAATGCTGGGAGTACAACTGAGGAGTTTTCGTAGTTTTGAAGAACTTGGTAAAATGGCCGACGCCATTTCTCCAGCTTTTGAAACCTAAACAAAACAACTTTCAGACAAGAACACAGAAGTGGAATGACGAATAGATGAATCATGTTTACAATACCTTTCTGTGATAATGCTTGGATTTATGGTGACCAGATCTGTTTTAGTTCCCACATCAGTAGCATACTTGTCGTTAATGGGTGGAATATTACATCTGCAACAAATCAACATTCATGTAACAATGGCCTTAGTATGTCATAGTAACAAAATATTAAATAATTGTGAGATTATTTTACCCTACCTAAAGACAAAATCAGCAGAGTCAATATCCTTTCCGCATTTGCTGTTTTTGATAATGCCACCATTTCCTATGACAGCACATTTCTTGTACTGTGATTTGGAATAAGGCATGTCCTGAAAGACAAAAAACAAAAAGTAGTTAAAACTACTGTTACAAATTTCTGGTTAAATCTAGTAATGAACTAAATGAATAATCTTTTTTTTTTTTTTTTTAACTAGAACTGAACTAGACCTACTACTCACATCTGGAAACATCTTGAAGATTTCAGTAGTAATGGGCAGAATTCCACTGGTGTCCACCTCATACCTCAGTTTGGTCCCTGCTGGAGTGTTTCTCTTTGTGGTAAACAGAAAGGCAGGAGCATTGCAGCAGCGTGACAAGGACATCCTTTCAGAGAGGATTAGTATAAATTGTAATTATTGTTAACTGTTAATATTTATTACAGTTGTTGTGATAGTTTACTTGAAGCTGCTGGCCTCTTCCTTATTCTGGTCCCACCTACATACTTGAAGGTTTCGCCACCTCTCAAACAGCTCAGAGGTTTTCACCCTGGCAAAAGACAAAGACACTTGTACAATATTACTGGTTACCAGGGACAGCTTTAATAGGTGATTTGGGTCAGCCACAAGTGAAGTTTAATGTTATTCATAATATGTAAGCACACCAAACCATAACATTAAAAAGTTGAAAAAAATCTGACCTAACTTGACCTGGTGGCATCACCTCTTTGTTTCCATGGAAATAGATAAGTTAATTGCAATACTGTGGGTAATTCTGGACAAAGCAATAACTTCTCCATGACAAACAGGACCCTCCCTCAGAAAAGTAAGTTGTCATCCTTAGCATTGTTTTCCTCCTAGCTCAGCCTTCCCATGCCAGTGTTGTCCCTAAAGATGCCCAAGTAAATGGTCATGTGGATCTTGTTAGCATTTTTTACTTCCACCACTTGCACATCTCAAGAGCATGAAATTGCCTGTGACTTTAACTAGCATGATTGTAAATAGATGTCCTTGAAATGACATTTTCTATGAGTGGAAAGGAAGGCCTCGTGGCTTGATTACTGATTGGCGTGCTGGCATAGTGCTGTTTTCTCCCATTTCACAACGCTTCATCAAGTGCCAAGACTGACAGAGACATACTAAAGGTCACGGAACATTGTTCATACTGCTGCACATTTTCAGTCAGTGTGTTTATAACTCCTGACCATCAGTAACCTGTATTAAAAAAAAGTCCAAGTCATAATGGTCAATGGACACAAACCATATAACACTGTCTTAAAATTTAGAAAGCTTACAGTGGTGGTGTTGCCAGAGACAAGCCTGAACAACAGGAAGAGGAGATTGTGTCAAGTTGAAGTAATGAACATAAGGGCTACACAATATAGCTCTAAACATCGAATTATGATCTAATCCCTGTGATGATATGCTATTATAGTGAAATTTTGATGAAAGCAAAATATGTAAAATACTATGCAGTCTGTATGTTGCTGTAACGTAATTTCATTGTTATTCTACATGATAATTACAATAAAGGAATTGAATTGAATTGAACTGAAATGGTCATATTGTGATTTACAAATTTTCTGCTGAATGCAGCTCTATGCTCACACTTTTCCATACCCACTTCATCTGTTATCTATTGACAGATGAATGTAACCAATTACAGTTAAGTGTGAAGTTTCTGAAGAAGCAGATTACTTTATTTATCTCTTAAAAGCAATATAAAACTACAAATGGTACATGAATGATGATTAAACCTAAATCAGTATCTAGCTCCAAAAAAAATTTATATGAATTATCCTACATATTTGCAACCCCTGAAATACATATTCTAATATTGTTCTAATATTGTTAAACAAACCCTTTCTGAATCCACTCACATTGTCAGGACTTTGACATCCATAATCTCTTGTCTAAGCTCCCTGCATGCAGTGGAGTTGTATTCGAAGGAGCCTTCATAATTCTCCAGATACCTGGTGAAATACATACAATCATTGTCTGGATAGGGATAGTCAAAAACAGCAGTAGCAAAAGCACTGGTTCACAGCATTGAGAACATTGAAAGGCACATTAAAGGACAGCATTAGAAAGCACTTCAAATGCTTGTGGTTTGACTTCATGAAATACTTATATCAGGTTTGTCGTCTGTGGAATGGCAAATGATAGAAGTGAGTGTTTGGAGATGTAGTTTTCTGGATATGTGCAGATTGTGGTACATTTAGTCTAAAGAGCAGCATGTGTGCAAAATTCTGCATAATTTTCAATGCATTTTTATTTTCAATCTTCTAATTATCTATTTCTCTTTACACAACACAAAAACTGTAATCTTGAGTGGGACTTTATACTGTTTAGAGAAAATGGCTGTTAGACATAATTCATTATTGGTCCATTCTATTTAACTCTTGAGGACTTTTTGTATTTGTTTTTATCATATCCTAAAATTAGACAAATACATTTAAATCAGACTTCATTGGTGAAAAAACATTTACTTTCAGAGAATAGAGATTTACAGCCCAGGTGTTAAATATTAAGAAATATTTTTGTGTTTACATATAACAATTGATTAGTTATCAACTTAATGTCTTGAATCACTCTTATTGCCCCATGAAGTCAACTGAAATATAAATACTCCTATTAGGAATTTGAAAAGAATTTTATAGGTTTGCAGTATTCTGTGGAAGTAACATGAAGAAGTGCAATGATAAAAAAGGAAATAACATGGCACTTGTGGCTGTAAAGTCCCATAACATTAAATAAAATAATAATGGTAAAAACACAACAAGCAAGTACAATGTAAGGATGCATAAAAGGAACAAGATGCTTGGATGAAGCTGTACAAATGATGAAACTGGTTGCTACATCCACCTGATGATGCAGTGTATTTCTGAAGAGGATCATCTGTCTTGGACGTGTTTCTTTTAGCAAAAAGGATTGAACCTTTGCAAGTATTTGCCTTAAAAAGGGCAGCCAAGTCAGGATTGCTTGCTGAAATATCTTCATCTCATTGGATTGTTATGTTTAATGTACAATACTGGTTAAAGTGACTGCTTAGGATCCAGCTTTTTTACCATAAGTGTTGACATGCTCAGTGTTGACAGCATTCGGTGATTTGTTGGGGCAACCCTGTCTTCTCAGTTTGAAAATTGCAGTGAATCAAAAGTCTTTCCCGGTCGCAGAGAGAGACAATGCAGATGTGAGAAGGGTAGGTAAGGGATAAGCAGAGAGACGTGTCCACACTATGTACATGACATACACACAGGCTGTGCGGAACATATGGAACACAGGCTGAGAACAACAAGGCATTTGGAGATGGTGCTGGATGGGACACAGGGGAGAAGCCAGTACAAAAGCAGCTTCTGAAAGAGGAGATGGGATTTAGGGTATCTGAGGTCAAGGTGGACGGGATCGGACAACATGCAAGAGCAAATCTGAAGTACAACCACCACTGAAAAATATGAGAGTTTATACCTTTCAGACTAATGAAAAAGAAAGAGGCATTCTTGTTTTGTTGTGAAAGTACTAAAAAAATGCCTTCAGGGAGGCCTACCTGGAAGAGCGTTTTTTTTTCTTCTTAATATCAGCTAGGCAGGGTGTGACTATTACGGAGATCTGAGAATCGGGCTGAAAATTCTGACGGAAACATCTGTCAACATGCAGACAGGTAATATTAGAGTTAAAGTTATTGTGATGGAGTCCTGTGACAATCACCACTCATGTTAACCTAAAAAAGAAACAATAGTGAAAGAGGCTAAGTGCTTCTTTTTATCTTTTCAAAAACCATTACCAGTTGCCCAGTCCACACACAACATGCAGAACTGGAGGGTTTTGTCACTAACTCTTTATCTCCCTTTTCTCAGGGGTGTTGTGCAGTCAGTCACACTGGAAAGATACCTTTTCCTTCCATTTCTGGCCGGCTTCAGAGATCCATCGTCCGAGAAATTAACTGGACCCGTCCAATTTCCTGCCTCGTCCCCTTTGAGTCGGCTAAACTGTTGCGCACTAGTAAGAAAATCAGTCAGTTTATTTGGGATTTATTGTTCTTTGTGTGCATTTGTCAACAGCAGCTCACTCACACATGCATGCTTTATACATCAGGAGACCAGCATTTTGGCTCAAGAAACACTCTTATAACAAGAAATATAGTCTAAATTCCTTATTTGTTTATTGCTATAGTTCAATTGGTGCAGTAGTATTTGTTAATTATTATTGTTTACACTTGACTGGACTAGTGCCACCATCCCAAGTGAGATCCAAATATTTAGGCCTACACTCTGTTATTTTGGCGGGGAGTGTTAAACGTCAATGATTTAAATGTAATGAATGTAATGAATGAGTTGCTGTGATTAGGCGTCCATTTAGACGGACTATATCAGGTTTTAGGGCCCAATAAATTCATTGTCAAATAGAAAATCTCTATCAACAATGGAATTTTGTTGTCAACATCTTGGTTGGGGACAGGGAGGGAAAGAAGTTGCAAATTTATGTTTTCGTTTTAAATAATGTGTTTTGCTACAACAGCTAATTGTATTTTTCAGTTAGAACAGAAGAATAATTCAAATCACGATTAAAAATTCACACTTCTACACATGCACGCCATATCAAAATATGCACTAAATCTGGTTTAAACAAGGTCAGGGTCAGGACCTCACCAGGACTAAAGCTGGACAGGAACAAAACTAGGAGCTCTTAGGTATAAAGTATTCTGTGGGCGTGAATCTAAATCCACACCAGAGTTAGTGCCCATTTATCGGCCCATTTTGCTTCTCAATCTCATGTTTCCTTTCACAGCAGTGAGCAGAGGGTGGAACTCATTACACAACTTGGGAGGCACAAATGCACTTGTTATTACAGTAAAATGTGTTTCTCTGCCAAAGTGGGTCACTCACTCAGGTAGTTCTACATTTTTCCATTTTGAAAGCATTGTATAAGAAACTGCAGGCTTATACGGTTTATTGAAATTACATGAAATAGTTATATAATGCAGCACAGTACAGTAATTCATAGAGCATTTGTTTTGCATGGCTGAATTCAATATCACATAGCAGTGTATTCATATATACTGAGTATCTCACTCCCATCATCTTTTTTCTCTCAGTTGTGCTGTGTGTGCTCACAGACTGTAGCAAAATGGCTGCCATGGAACTGCTGATCTGTCTCATATGGCTTGTTCCCCTTTTGATCCTAAGATGAGCGCTTTGGAGGAGAAGCGCGAGCGGAGGTGTCTGAATTCATGCATCTCCTCTCTGGATGCATTGAATGTATTGTCAATATTCACCCCAGCAAAATGTCAAAGGTGAGGGGTTATGAGGAATTCAACATTGCAGCACATGTATGTCAGGGAACCATATATGTGCTGTTTGTAAATAATCTTGTTGTGGGGGAACATTCTTCACAAGTCATTGGGTTGTTGTTCATTAAAAAAATAAGTCCAGCTTCTCAACATCTGCTCGTCTCACACTGAAATTTGTCTCAATGTGTAAAGGGAGGGGTCTGCAAATAAAAGTAGCCTATAATATCTGCCATTTGAACAGTACTACTTGTGCTTATGAATACTTCTCATGGTAAGGGTATCATAAAACATCCCTCTGCCTTGGCTTAACTGAGTGTAGCCTGGTTAAAAATGAATGTTTGAAGTTGTGGAAGAAATACACATCATCTGACACATGATGAGCTAGATTTTGCCTATTTGTGGTGATTGGATGCCTTGTTAGATGTAGGCTAGGACCAGTCGAGAAAGCTGAAACATAAAATCAAATAAAGATCATTCGGGAAACAAAGGGAAATAATAACCATACACAGCAGATGCACTGTGTATGGTGTGAATGTGATGCTTCATCATCATAAAAATATCAGAAAAAAAATCCAATGAAAACGGTTTCTATGTTACTGGAAAAATGGATGGTTATTGCCGTTCATTTCAGCCACCTAAGCTTATCCTATTTTCGCCATACATTAGTGCCAGTGAGCTCCTATTTAAAACCACTGGTTAGATGTGTGTCGGTGCTTAGCAGGTTTAATTTTTTACCATTTGGCCTACACTCTGCCTCCATCAAAATACAGATTAAGATTCCACACTTACCTTTTAATGTAGTTTTTTCCATAAAGTATCTGCTGCAACAGTGTGACGAGCCCAAATGCGCAAATAAATATAAAACAAAGAGACCTATTGCCGAGTATGTCTTTACCCGACGATGGGTCGGCGTATCCCATTCTGCGGCGCAGCATCCACGGCTGACGGTGACACCCTGCGAGGTGTCTCTCCGCTGCATTCAGGACCAGAAGCGCAGGTTTCCTCTAACCACTGGACACGGCATTGTTCATCTACAAAAGTTCACTGCCCTTTGACCACAGCATCATTGTGGTCAGAATAAACCATAAAAACGTGTGGGCTACTTCAAAAACAATGGCATCCACACTACTCAAATGAATGATGAAAAGGCGCACTATGGGTCTGGCTTTGTACATCAACAATCCGTAGAGTCCGACGAAATAGTGTATCTTAAAAATAGACTGTTGGTTCACCAGATCGCCCGTGCAAATTAACACGCATCATGGTCATCATCTCAAATCTGCGCCTGCATCACGCCAAAAGGGGGAGGACGCGCCTTTTCTTAGTCTGGCGCCAGGGGCGCGCTGTGTACCACAGATGCTCCTTACACAGCCGAATACAAGGTCAGGGTGTCCGAAATGAAAAAAAGGTTTTATATCAAACTACGCTGCACATGCCGCCGTTCACAAACCCCTTGACTATCTAGCCCCTCTTCCTTATACGCTTAAGGCCCATTGAAGAAGGACGTTTATGAAGGCCCCTCAAGTGTGTGCTTTATTCTTAACTCAGTTTTGGTTGTTTTTTTTGGAATATTTGGAAAGATTTACTCAGTGGCAGGATATATGGTTGGTTAATCTCTGTGCAAGGTGTTTTGGTTGAAGTTTAAGACATACAGTGTCTATTGGAATCTGGGTAACTTGGAACCATAGAATAACGCGACACCTGGTGGGCGATGTAGGCTAAGCTTCAACGCGAGTGCGCGACCATTTTGCTAGACTTACTTTTTTTTTATTGGAACAATAATCTTGTAAACAAAAAGTAGGCATATTTTTAACATGTGCCACTTTTTAATAATTATTATATTTTATAACCATTAATATTGTTTCTTTGATTAAATATGTGATCAATATGTATTTTTATGATACTATGCAAATTCCCGCAAGGAGACAATGAAATATGTTGTATCTTTATTTTAATGATATACCTACGTTATTCATAAATATACTTAAGGCCTAGGCATGTAGTCTATGGGTCTAGGACAACGGTTACTATTCAGTGTTGCACGCACGGATGTTATTTGATGTGGCACGAACTCTTTTCCGGTCTCTTTCCCCCTAGCCACCGGACGAAATGGTATGTTTGCCGTATGATCAGACAAAATCTTCTAACATCAGCCTAATCTGTCCTTCCCCCCACATAACGTGATTGATAATCTGCTGTGGATATTTGGTGTCATCCACCGATTCATATATTTTTCTGAAAATGCGAAAAATTTTGTTGATACTTTTCATACAGCGAGCCTGTGTTGCTGTCATGCTGTAGGCTTCCGTGATTCTGATAACTGAATGTAGGGATAATAGAGCAAAATGTCACATTATCAGACTTGCAGTTAAACTCACTTTAAAGCAGATTTAAGTTTAGACCTGCTTATTCAGTGAAGGTCTAAGCTATTTAGTGTTAGCTGTTAGCATAGCTGGTCTTGTAGCACCATTTCGTCGGTGTACCGTTCGGAGTCTTGTCAGTGATTTAATATTAAAAAAAAAATGTCTGAACTTATGACTATTCTGATTCAACTTTTTCGCTGAGACAAGACCAATGAGAAATTTAGTTGCAGTGTTTTATATTGTATGTTTTGTTACTCTGACCGATTTGTCTTCTCCCCCCCATAGACTAAGGGAACATCATCCTTTGGAAAGCGTCGAAACAAGACGCACACTTTGTGCCGTCGTTGTGGGGCCAAAGCCTACCACCTGCAGAAGTCTTCATGCGGGAAGTGCGGCTACCCTGAGAAGCGCAAGAGAAAATGTAAGTGGAATTATTGAGCCCACCGTCTGTGTTTTGGGGAGTGTATGGTGTAATTGTTTTATATAGGCAGGTTGTCCATGCGTTCCTAAACATTTCTTGTTTTTACGGCTAGATAACTGGAGTGCCAAGGCTAAGAGGAGGAACACCACTGGCACTGGCCGTCTGAGACACATGAAAGTTGTCTACCGGAGATTCAGGTATCAACTATATGTAAAAAATGTGCTGTGCATTATACCTTAAATGTGTATGTTGTGTCGTGTATGCACACTTACGACATAGTGCAACTGTTGTGTACTTGTATATCAGCTCTGCATTTTCTGAATGCCATGCTCAATGATTTCCCATTTTAAAAAAACTTTCAAGGTGGTAATTTTTAGGGCCATGGTTGTGCAGGGATGCAATTTTTGGATGGAGTCACTTGTCTTCACCTAGGATTCTTGTTTGATTGGCCAAAGAGAATCTTCTATTCAGAATCTTAAATTGCTCAACTCTAAATGTAATCTAATCTGTAATTTGTGGTAATATCTAATTATCAAATTGATATTGTGACTCTGAAGACTCTGGATGAGTTTTTAGAGAATTTTTCTTGGACATGGTTATCTTGGCATTGATGATATATGCAATGCCAACATATAGGGAGTACTATAGGTAGTACAACATATTGTCCAGCCTTGTCAGTGATGATTTTAATACACAAATGTCTGAACTTATGACTTAATTGTGATTCAACTATTTATCTGAGACGAGACCTGTGGCAATTCCTAATTTTATAATTTGTTCCTATATTTTAAGAGAAAGGTGGAGTTCAAACTCATTTTGGATGTTAATTCTGTCAGTATGGGTAGCACAAAATAAATGACTCAAAGGTTTTATACCATTCATTTGAACATGCATTGTTTGTATGCGTCAAGTTTTTGGGCAAAGATTTACAAAATGTATTTGCATCATTGTAAGTTTCATTTGAGTCTGTAGTGTGGACTGAAGTTAAAAATGCTTTAGCACAACCTTAGGTTCTTTCAAAGTTAAATGGAGAAAGCTGTAAATATCATAACCAAAAGTTTTTGTTTGTTGCAGGAATGGATTCAGAGAAGGCACCACTCCTAAACCTAGACGTGCTGCTGTGGCTGCCTCCAGTTCATCTTAAATTTTGTTAAAATAAAAACTGGTCATAAACGACACCTGACTTGTTCTTGAGTGTACATGTTTCTAAACTATACATGTGGTCCTCTAAATGCTGAGTTTGAGGGATGACATGTTTACCAAATTTATGTTTTGTTTAGACAGCATGATAAATATTTGGCTTAGTTTTCACTCTGCCGCACCCGTCTTGGTAATAATGAATGCAAGCAGTCTCATTGAACTTCTACATACCACGCTCTACTGTTTGTGGGTAAGTGGTTCACTTGTATACCTACACAAAATGGAAGTCACAACAATACATCAGTCTTAAATGGCCAATTTGCAATGTTGCTTGTGGGTGCAGTGTAGGTCTGAATTTGCAGTCAAACCAGACTAAAAAAGTTAACCAGTGAAATTCCTCCTGTGATTTGAGACAAAGTGGACTGTCCAGGTGCAAAATGCAAAGAAGACTTTGTAAATGTTAAATTTTTTGCTACACGGAAAGTGAAATGAGATGTGGGCCTGCTTGTTTCACATTGTTTAACTGGTTGACTCTGGTGTTATTTTAGCTGTTTGTATAGTTTACATCCATCCATGCAGGTACAACTTTTAATGGCTATAGCACGTGGTTGAACTTAAACTATTGTAACCTGACAATTCTGGCATGTTCTTTATGTCTAATTGTTGACTTTATTAAGGGACGTGGTCATAATTTCAGGAATGCAAAGGTGGGCTAATGCTTGTCACTACTACCTCTTGAAGACCAGGCCAGAGCTTGCATTCACTAGTAAAGTACGTGTATCTCAGGTCCCTCCGGGTGTTGCTTTCATACATTTAGGGTGAGAACTCACCAGCAGGGGGAGGAGGACAACTGCTCTCACTGACTGCATCTGCACCCACTTGTATTGTCCGTCCCATTTTCCCGAGAAGAGAAATCGGACAGCAAATCCTGGTATGTTGCGATATACCGCGGTTACTGGGAACAACGCACCCCATCTGCTGCTGAAATGAGATGTAAGTACGGAGTTTTACGGACGTCCGTGTACTTGCTGTCATTTTAAAGGTATTCATATGCCACTTTGGTTGTAGTCTTTGCCCTGGGACCAGTTTGTGTCTTTTTCTTGCTGTTGTGGGTACCTGCATGTGGAGAAAAAGTTACCTCCGGCTCAGGTACGTGATTGGCCAGGGTGTTCAAAGGCTTGTAGTTTTTTACATGACTGTCAAACTAATACCATGGATATACGATGATAATATACACATAACTTGTTTATTTTGATCACGTTTTGTTTTTTGAAAGTGATATTTTATTGTTCTCACTAAAGTCAGACATTCTTGAAGACCCCGATAACAAAAACGTGTTCCCGCAGGCTTTCCCGGAGCATTACCTAATAAATGCGCTTTGTTGGAAGAAAAAAGTTCATTTGGAGGCAGCTGGATGTGTACGCACCAATCTGCACATGTGTTGCTAATACTACTCCTGTTATAAGGCATGCTGCGCAAAACTAACCTAATTCGTTCAGTTTATCGCTTTGTTTTTTGACTACATTAGTAAAACAAAACAAAAATCTAGGGCTGCAAATAAATGTAATTTAATATTATACTTTTGTTTGATAGTACCTCAATAATGTGATTTTCATGGAAATGGGAATGGAATTATAGTCAGGGTATGGTGGACAAGCATGTTTTTTCATGTTTTAATTATATTTGAGGTGCGTAGGTGAGTACAACGTGACTGGTATGTCATTTATTTTGATCCGGCGATTAACATGATTTAGGATTGTCTCTTTATGGAGGCTGCATGCCACCTCCATAAAGATTCCATGGAAATAGAAAGTTAACCCCCAACATTCTCCATTTTTATCTAATACAGTGGTCCTCCTCAAGGCCAAATAAGAATCAGGTTTATGGAGATGTAAGACCATTTAGGTACATGCTTTTCAGCATCTTCAGTGCAATAATAAACAACCATCATAATAATAAACACAAACACAAACCTTTTATTTTAGTTTATTGTTTGCAGATTTGTATTTATTTATTTATTTATTTAATGAGACAGGGACTGCACACAATCTACATTAACCTTAACAGGAGAGATGCATTGTACCTGGTTGTAGCACCAGTGCTACTTTCTACCTTTTGTCCCTGGGCAGGTTTATTGATTGATTGTATTTAATTGACCTTAGCTCAGCTGTTCTTCCTGGAGACCTATGTAGCATGTTTTGGGTTGTTCCTATTGAATGATCTGCCAGCAATTTTTCCCCCACAGTGAACCCCTGCTGCTATCTTCCTTGCCAGAACCAGGGTGTGTGTGTGAGGTATGCTGAGGATAAGTATGAATGTGACTGCATTCGCACCGGCTTTCATGGAGAAAACTGCACAGTTCGTGAGTCCTGTCTTCTCAAATACAGTTTTTTATGATTGTCTGAGAAATATTCCAAATATTTCCTGAAAAACACCCTGCAATATTTTGCTGTAAAAACATCCCTTTCAGCTTGGGGTTGTAAAATGAATAGTGTTACGTAGCCCATGGCTCTAGCCTCAAAATGTGAGGTATTCTTGTCTAGACCTAAATATTTAAATTAAATAGACTGCCTTAGCCAGCTGGATCAGTAGCTCCATTCCAACAGATTTCCTCTTCAGCAGAATAACATCACTTCAGCTAATCAACTGTAGCTAGAGAGTTGCAGTTACATCATTTCTGGCACAAATTAACAACAATGGTCAAATCTGGGATAGGGAAATGTAAGGGAAGAAGGGTAGAGCTTAATTTGTAAATCAGTGCCTTTTGGAGCAGTTTTGCATTGATGTCATGAGTTGGGGGATATTGGCTCATTCCTCCAAAACATTTCCTGGAAATCGTAGGGCAAATACAAGAACACTTTTCACAAATCAATCAACTTTAACAAAAAGCAGCACAGGGCAGGTGTTTCATGCCTTTGTCATTTTAATAGTTGGAATTTTTAGCTGAGACACAGAAGCCAAGAAATTGAACTGGCCAGGCCTGTTTAAACAAGAGTATCTTCTTACTGTCGGATGCTTCAAATTAGATTGCTTAAACATTGTTTTGTTTTTACTTCTCACAATAGCTGAATTTTGGACCAGAGTGCGGCTGTTCCTCCGACCTAGCCCTGGAGCGGTGCATTTCATCCTTACACACTTCAGCTGGATCTGGGACATTGTCAATAGTACCTTCATGAGGGACTTCCTAATGCGTCTCGTCTTAACAGGTTCAGAAACATCACCTCAATGAGATATTTTCAGTGTTTGACACAATCACTCATTTTTACTTTGCCTAACTAGTCAGATCCAACTTTATACCCAGCCCACCAACATACAACTCCAAATACAGCTACCTTTCCTGGGAGTCCTACTATAACGTTAGCTACTACACTCGTCTTTTGCCTCCTGTTCCAGAAGATTGCCCTACCCCTCTTGGGGTCAGAGGTGAGCCTGTGAATAATATGCATTCATTTACCATTGAAGGAACTGTATGTAGCCTGTTGTCTTATTGGTTTTAAAAAGGTACTGCAATCATTACTGAGCCTGGATTGCCTGGAATATAAAAAATACATGTTTTTCTCATTCCCAGTATATAGGAATCTCCACCTTAACTGTGAAGTCTTTCTGACAGTATATGAACAGGCCATGCCTCATGTGAAACCTCAGAACCTCCAGCTGCAGGTGCTGGGATTTAAGTAGTGAGGAAGCTGATAAGACAAGAGTCTATGTTTTAGGTTTCTATTACGTTTAAACCAACTTTCAGCATTTAAATTGGCAACCTAAATGAAAGACTCATGTGATGCTCGTTCTGCTTTCTGATTTGAGAATGAAAACACAAACTTAACAAATTATATGGCCATCATGTCCAATTTGTTTTATGATTAAATAAATCAGCATTACAATTCTAAACAGTAAGAGCTATATTTTATTTTCTGCCTCATATTTGGAGACACGCATCATATTTCAACATCTTCCATACAGTTCCTTTAATTCTTTCACACTTATTTTTTTCTAAGTTTTAAACCCTACATATAACTTCTGACACAAATCTCAATATCTCTTCTACCCCAACTCTTCTGTTCTTCTGTATTTTCCTCAGTGCACACATACCACTTCACTTATATGTTAAAGGTTAGTTAGGTTAGTTAAAGTAAAGTTTTCTTGGCAATTATAACATAATACTGATACTATTTTCCTAATCTTCATATATATATATATATATATATATATATATATATATATATATATATATATACAGAATTTCTTTGTGAATACATCAAATAATGAAACATATGCAATATAGTTTTATATATGTCCATAATCTACAGAAAATGTTAAAATTTGTTTCCTAAATGCCTGCAGTGTGTTGCCTAATACCTAACGTTTTGTTACACTGGAACTATCCTACTGATTTGTAACATTTGTAGATTATAGTTAATTTCATGTTTCAGTCTATATTTTATTTGTCCATTTAGGTGGAGCTGGGTTACCTGACCCTGAGCTGTTGGTTGAGAAATTATTTAAAAGGAAGACTTTCAGAAAAGACCCACAGAGATGTAACTTGATGTTTGCATTTTTTGCTCAACACTTTACACACCAGTTCTTCAAGACTTATAACCGCATGGGTCCAGGCTTTACGAAGGCTTTAGGGCATGGTGTAAGTGGGTTTTCATGACTGTATTATATATCCTATGAGTTTCATTTCTTTAGGTTTTAAATATTCCTCCAGGTTGATGCTGGACACATTTATGGTGACAGTTTGAAACGTCAGTTGCAACTTAGGCTTCTCAAGGATGGAAAACTCAAATATCAGGTATATATATATATATATATATATATAGAGAGAGAGAGAGAGAGAGAGAGATAGATATATGATAATTTCCCAATTTGATTTCCTTAGCTTATAAATGGAGAAATGTACCCCCCAACTACTTTGGAAGCTCCTGTAAAGATGAACTACCCACCAAACACCCCTCAGAACCAGCAGCTGGCCTTTGGACATGAATTGTTTGGACTACTTCCTGGTTTGGGGATGTATGGCACAATTTGGCTGAGGGAACACAACAGAGTGTGTGACATTCTGAAGACTCTGCATCCCCATTGGGATGATGAGCAGCTTTTTCAGACTACACGCTTCATTATTATTGGTGAGCTCTGTGCAATGTCTGAATGTTTTTCTAGTGGCATACCCTAACCACTGTTTGTTTAAGGTGAGACTATTCGAATAGTCATAGAAGAATATGTTCAACAGCTCAGTGGATACCATATGAAGTTGAAGTTTGATCCGACCATGCTGCACAATACTGATTTCCAATATGGCAACCGTATTGCTCTGGAGTTTGACCACTTGTACCACTGGCACCCTTTGATGCCTGATGCACTCAATATTGATGGAGATACATTTACCTATGAACAGTTTATCTTTAATACCAGCATACTCTCTCACTATGGCATAGAGAAGTTGGTGGAGTCTTTTTCTCGACAACCTGCTGGCCAGGTAAAGTAATTTGTGATGGGCTTCTTTTCTGAATATCCTAAGTACTTCAGTATTTTCATTTTTGAATTTAGATTGGTGGTGGTTATAACTTGCATGCTATAGTAGTCCATGTTGCTGTGAAGACCATTGAAGTGTCCCGTCTTCTGCGTGTGCAGCCCTTCAATGAGTATAGGAAAAGGTTTAACCTGAAGCCATATACATCTTTTAGAGAGTTTAGTGGTATGAAAAAACACTCAAGAGTAACTCGCACACTAATGATCACCCTATTTATTTATATTTTTTACCTTGCAGATGATGAAGAAATTGCTCTGCAACTTGAAGAATTTTATCACGGTGACATAAATGCTCTGGAATTTTATCCCGGTCTACTGTTGGAGAAAACACGTCCAGGAGCAATATTTGGAGAGAGCATGGTGGAGATGGGGGCTCCCTTTTCCCTGAAAGGACTATTGGGGAACCCCATATGTTCTCCCACGTACTGGAAACCAAGCACATTTGGAGGCAAAGTTGGATTTGACATAGTGAATTCTGCAACACTGAAAAAGTTGGTCTGTTTAAACACCAAAACATGTCCCTATGTGGCATTCAGAGTGCCAACCCAAGCAGAATTAGAAAAAGAAAACAGAAAGCGAAAAGATGAACTATGATGCAGGATTTTAATTGCAAAGATTTATCAGGTACTGCATTGAAACATATTGGACCCTTGTACACTGGTTTACATGTACACTGGCGTAGACTTTGTCTATTGCCATTATGCCCTGGAATACAGATGTTTGTGTCAATGTAATCCAATTAGGCTGGGCAATATCGACAAAGATCTTTTTTGAATAATCAGATAATATTGTGGCAATCCTACAAATATGCCCAAATGTGCTTGTTTGTGTGTGTGTGTGTGTGTGTGTTTTATACTTTTTTGCATATCTTTAAAAACAACATTCACGGTATTATAACTAGTTTGATATATTTTTTTTTTCCAAATGAGTTAATATAATTTATTTTGACACTGAAGGCTTAGCTGTATAAAATATGAATATTATACATATATTTTATTTGCTTCATTGCCAAACCAACTGTTCTATAACTGGAGGTTGGAACCATCCATGGAGGTCGCAAAATTATTTGACAGGGGCTTCCTAATGAAGACAATTTTTATATAATTTTAAACAATGCTTGACACCTTTTCAAATGCAGTGGTGAAAATAAATTCCTGTTTCTTGGCCTTTAAAATTTAATTCAGGCTACTTTATCATTTTGCGGTTATGGTGATTAAAACTGATAAGAAATGTCAAACACCACCGTGACGAGACCTCTGTCTCACGCTGGCCCCTGCACAACACTTATAGGACACCTATTATGCCAAATCGATTTTTCAGAGCTTTTAATCATGTTATAGCTGCATCTCCTCATTTACCCATTCGAAGTTCTATCTGGAGTGATTCATGCATGTTTGAGTAATCTTTAATCGCTTATTTTCAAGACTCCGTATTGCCGATCATGCCTTGTGTTCATCACCATCAGCATACGCCCACAGTGATGTATTAACTTCGTTCTGCATTTTTATTTTCTCGATTATTTTCTTCGCGTGGTCATTTTGGTACAAATGAAAAAATATCCGCTGCTCGCTGCTGCCAGTGATGAGCATCTGACATCTATCCACAGGAGTTGCCGGTGTTATGGCTCTGTCGGTGACGATATGTTCACATGTGGCGATGTGGGCGTGCCTTGCAAGGACCAAGGACCCAGCTTTAATAAACTTAATATTCCGTTTTAAACGCTGTATCCATGTCATTGCGTATTATTTTTATTAAACCACCCCAGTATATAGCAGGCTCAAGCCAATATGTGATATTTAAGATCACATGCTGCCCTTGAGATCAGATCGTTTTTGTTGCTCAAAAATACCTTGAAAAACAGTTCTTATTGTGAGAAAGGCCTCTCCAATAGACTCTAGATAGTCTACACATTCCTGTGTAACTTCACCTGGTGGTGTCTGTTGTATGCAATATTTTACACTGCAATTATGCAATTAGAGTGAACGTGTATTTATACAAAACAAAAACAAAAAAGACAAATTATGTTATCCATACTATGGATAACATAATTTGTCTTTTTTTTTTTTTTTTTTTTTTTTAGTTAAACCGCCACCCGCCCGAATTTAATTAAAATATAATTTTTAGTCACGTCATCCGCCCGACCCGCGGATTAACCGCGGATACCGCGGTTGTAACCGCAATCCGCGCATCTCTAATCCATAGGTATAGTCAAATTTGTAATAGTGAAGGTTTCTCCAGCTCAGTAGGGGGCGATACCGCTGATATTGGTTTGCAAACAAAAACAAAAGAAGTCGATACCGGATTAATCTGTGACGTAACGTGAGGACGTCGCCCGAAGCCGCAGCCTGATCAAGAGCCCCAAGACAAGAGACGGGAGGGACACTTTTAGGGTACTTAAGGCAGACTATTAGGTAAGCAATTAGCATATATAAAGATTTAATTTAATTACAACCGTGGCGTAGTTTTATTGCTTTACATCAATGAATGAAATGGAAGCTAACGGCGCAAGCTAATATAAGCGGTTTATAGGTTAGCGTTAGCTCACAAACAGGATACATTTACTCGTACTTGTATTTCCTCTGTTAAATGGACATTGTAGCTCATTTGATTGTAGTTCAAATGTGGATAATTTTGAAGTGATTTATGTCGTTGTATGATTTGACCTGAAAAAAATACTCATCCTGGCGTAACAATGCATATGGGGCGCTCATCCCTCAATGGTCGAGTCCATCATAATGCGCATAATGAGTTCTTGTTCACATTAACACACTTTTCCTAAGACAAAGCCAAATGACCTCCATATGCCTATCTCCTGAGATGCTGTTAGATCACATCCTAAACATCCATTGTAATGATTCAACAATGCCTTTTAAAAACATTCTTTCATACTTTTTTATTATTTACACGTCAAAACGACAGGAAATGTTTTGATTGCTTTTGTTATGTTGTTTCATTATTTTAGTTTCATTAACACTGCTTGAGTCTGTTTAGTGAGCTGCTGTTATGACAACTCTGGATGACAAAATTTTGGGAGAGAAGCTGCAGTACT